GTATATCATTAAACATCTGTCATGTCTTAGATACCATGGTCTTCACATGTTTTTTGAAGCTCAGTTTTCTATTTAGTCAGATTTCTAGATATTTTATGAAGCTTTTCACTGCATTTACTATAATAGAGTGAATGTTGAATGTCATTTCAAAATTAATTGAGAGATTTGAAAGAATTCTGCACCATGTGAAGTATGCTATCTCAGTTTTGATAAAATCAAATATTAGTTCTTCTTTGTTGGCTCAATTATTTAACAACTTGAAATTCTTCTGAAGAGTAATAATATTCTCTTCAAAAGTGATTTCAGCACTAAGCAGTTCTAAATTATCTGCATAATCTGAGTGTGCATATCTTCTTTGTATAGTTTTTAGAAAGAACAGAGGCTGAATAAATAGCATGAATAGAATAGATGAGACTAGTGAGTTTTATGAAAGCCCTGCTGAGATATCAAAAAGCTCTCTCAGAAGTTCATTCATTCTGATTCCGCCTATGTGTTCTGTTATAAAGCTTTTTACTCATCTAATTAAATTTGATAGTCAGTTTTATTCTTGTAGTCTCTGCAGCATTCTTTCTCTGAGTACAGTATCAACAATGCTCTTGATATTCAAAGTAAGAAGAAAAACTACTTTTTTATAAGCTCAGACTTTCTTTATATTATGAATCATCACTGCCACTAGGTCTGAGGCAGCCTGCTCAGAGAGGGCTTCAAAGTGCTGAAGATGAATAATTTTCTTTCATATAGCTGTTCAGGTCAGTCTATGAGCTATCAGACATTTCAGTCCCTTTCTCAACATTGAGAGAAGAGCTGTAAGCCTGTAGAATTGCAGAAGTGTTGAATCTCTATTGACCTTAGACAGCACAATCAGTATGACTTTTTGAAAGAAGGTTGAGTATCAGTCAACTCTAAGACAGACTCTGAACAGCCTTTTCACTGATATCTTAATATGTAGTCATATCTTTTGTAGCATCTCTGTTAGCACTTCATTAATTTCTGAAGTAATATTATCTGTGTTTAGCAAAGAGTTTTATATCTCATATGCTGAGACAATAGAAAATGATAATTTGACAGATGATGAATTGAATTAGCTAACTGAGATATTCTCTCTGCTTGCAGCCTTCTGTAAGAGCATCTGTTGCAGAAGATCTTTTTTTTCTCTAAGAGTTGTTCACACTAGTCCAGTCTCTTCATCTATGAGAAGAGGAGAATGAAAGAAGTCAGTTGAATGAGTTTATTTGATCATCTTAAAGATATCTTTTCCTACTGAGGCCTCTGGTATCTTGTTTTGCCAGTATTTTCTCTTGACTTTTCTGATGATCCTAGCTATATTGTCTTTTACTTTATGTAAAAATCTAGAGTCTAAGTACTGTGCTTGATATAGTGTTGTGATCACTTTCTGACAGTTTTTATTCTATCATGACTGGTCTATACCTTGCCCAGTGCTCTTCTTGATGAAGCTTTTCAGGGAACCTACTAGTGTATTTATGATATCTTGAGTCAGAGCATTCAGCTAATCTGTATTTATATACTCTGAAATATCACATAGTTTGTCTAGTTTTAACTTATAGACCTTCAATGTCTGATTAAAGACCTTCTCATCCATGGTATCAAGATAGAAAAGATAGGGAGATCTATCAGATCTTGCATCTCATGAAAGGCTGATTTTGATGAGAAGAGTCTGATAGTCAGAAGAAGTGTAAAGAGATCTATCCATCTGTATGTCCACTTCTTTGATAACTAATTCTAGAGTGATCCAGGCCAGGTCTAGCATGTTACACCTACATGTGGGGATGTCTGAGTCCATGGTGAGAGTAAAGTTGAAATTCATGATTTATTGCAGAAATGATTCTGCTCACATGCTTGAAGACACTTCTGATTGCCACACAGAGTGTTTGATATTAAGATTGCTAGCAAGAAGCAAAGAAAGTACTGAAACAGATCAGAAGAGAAGACAGCTAACATCTTGTTCAGAATTCTCTGCATCTAAGAGCACATTATATATATTGACTATCTGAAGCTGTAGATTTCAGATCTGTATATGCAGCATATGAATGTTCTGATTTTCTACCCAGAGGTCAGAAATTGCATGAGCATGAATTTGTAGATATTTATACATATAGATAAGAACTTATAGCTCTCTGTCCTACTTTTCAATTGAGGCAAAGCAGTTGAATACTAAATGCTTTTTAGAGATATGTCAGCTTAAGTTTCTGTAAATTCAGAGTTTCTATATGAGAAGAATATCAGTTTTTTTTGAACACTAGATTGAAAGCTGTCTTGTGTACTGAGTTCTCTTTTTCTATATTGACTTGTATAATCTGTAGAAATCATAGAGATCTAGAGTTCTTCTTTATTGAGTAGCTGAAAGAAGAGTGTTATTATGTGAGATATTGCATTAAATGTTGCATGAGATATTGAATTGAGCATCATATCTAATACTGTGTCTGATGCTATACTCAATGCTGTGCTTGATACTGTGTTTGATGTCAGTGTGAGATTAGATCTACACTCAGTAGAGTCATTCAATCTCAGATCTGCTGATGAATCTTGATCATCATATTTGCTATTATTTATCTTAATCAAGTATATTTTACTCTATGCATTGTGAATATCTCTCAGCTGATTTCTTGAGTGTCTTTGAATAATTTCATTCTTTATTTCTGATTTGATAGAGCAGAACAGATCATCTATAGCATATGATTCAAAACAATTAGTGCAGTAATTGAGACATTCACATGCTTCATTTTTCTTATGATAGAATAAATTTTCTTTCATATGATTCTTAGAACTGCATTTTTTCAGTGAGAGATGCAGAGACAGTATTTTTTTTGATAAAATTCTCAATATCTGCTACATTATTGTATTTTGATCTTAAATGTCTTTCTGATCAATAGTCTTTAATACTCATATAGTTTCACTTTTGATGATAAATTTACTGCTGTCTCTTATGAAAAGTGTAATATAAGAGTGACTGTTGAGTTTTCAAAGTGTGTTTTTGCCTAGCAACTCTGAACAGACTTAATTTCAATTTGAAGTGTAAATTCTTCTGTCATGAATTCTGTTAAGAGACACAAAGTTTTATCATCATAATCATTAATCTTCATGAGCAGCTTAAAAATCAAATAAATGATTCAATGTTCTTTCTTCTTTATCTGAGTGTTGGTGAGAATGACTGCTATAATATTTTTTTTAACTAGTAGAGTCTTCATATCTTACAAGCTTCTAAAGATAATGGTAATGCCAATGGAAATAACTTGAATTGCTATGATGACTGCTGTCAAAGACTCTGAAAGTTCAGTTTTTAACTTTCTAAGAGTAGTAATTGAGCTTGCTTTGTAAGCTAGATGATCTAAAGACAGACATGTGAGAATTTATGATATTTTTTCTTCTTTGAGATTATTTCTAAACAGAGGTTTCTGCAGTATGATTGTTGATATTTTTACTACATTAGTGCTGTCTGCAGCTGTCTTTGCATAAATAGAAGCTCTTGCATCATTTGCACCAGTGGAGTTAATAGGCTTGATTGTGGTAGACTGCTTAGCTGTTTCTAGACTTTTATTGTACCAGTTCTTGACTAATGCCTTCATGACAGCTCCAAGGGCCAGTGCTCTTGATAGGTCTTTTGCCTTCATGTCATCTAAGTCTTCTTCAATCTGATCAAACATATTTGCAGCAGCTAGTGCTTCTGCATAGGATTTCTGTGCCTCAGCCTCATGGGCAGCTAGGAGATTACTAGCCATCAGGCCACATAGGTTGAGATGTATTGGTGTGACATTTATGCTCTTTGAGCTGTCTGCTGGTGTAGGGGAGCTTGGAGGCTCCATGTCATTCAGTTCATGTGTGTGGCAGGCGATTGGGGTGGAGAGATGGAGTCTCTTGGGTGGTCAGTGTATTGGGGAGCAGATGCACATCAAGGCTCAGGACGCGTTCAGTGTTGTTGGGGGGCCGGGCGCGCTGGCAGCGCTGCGTCGGCACACCATCAGACTTGCTGCCTGAGGGGATGGGAGAGAGCTTATAGGGATGTGATCAAGATTGATTAAGACATTTTCATAGTTTTTTGTGTGTGTGTGTGTGTGTGTGTGTGTTATTATTTAACGCCCGGTTAGTCCACGTGTCTTAAGGGCACGTGATCTAGTAGGGTCCGCGTCGAACTATAGGGCGGGTAGAGCTACGCCCGTAGGCGACTACCTATCTAGTAGCTATCTTACAAATGAGGCAAAATGGGTTGCGTATTGCTACACCGGCAGAGCCCGTGGGTCGGTTGCCATAGGGCAGATCGTACGTTTGAGTGGAGGCTCGGAAGTTGAAGCTTGAGCCGTGCAGCATCATTTGGTCATGTGATGCTAAGACCCGGCAGTTCAAGCAGAAACGTGAGTTCAACTTAGTTTAACTAAACTCATCGCAGACTTATTAACAACCCCATCTTCAACTCCAAGTCAATTAGCTACCTCTAATCAGCTTCAAGCAACTTCAAGCAAATTCAAGCAACTTCATTCATTTCATTCATTCGAGCTGCTGTCAACCAATTTGTCTCCTTGCTCACCCCCACTCTGCATTACCATTCCCTGCTGCTGTGCTGTTTTGTATTCGCGTCCCTCCCCATCCCAATCTAGCTTCGATAGCTACCACACATCCTCTGTTCTCTACCATAAATATGGTCGCTCATGGTGTTACTGGGGCTTTAGGCGAAGGTCCGTTGATACTGAATCAGGATTAATGCTGGGTTTTATTGAACTAACAACCCTGCGTAGATGGTATCCATATAGATATGAACCACCTCAAGAAGGGAGAAGTCAAGTATGGGGCTATGAAAGAGTTCTTCAAGTGTGTCTCTTTTGTTGAACCACCAACTAACTAACCTTCGTCATGCGCAATAGTCTTGGTACCTCCATGTGAGAATAATCAATCCTCCTCTTTTTTTCCCTCCTAATTCCTTCTACCCCATATCCCATACGCATCTGCACCTTGGAGCCCCGTAATTTTAACCTTCGATGGGCAACAGCATGGCAATCAACTTCAAGGATGGCGTTATTCTTGGAGCCGATAGTCGCACAACCACTGGAGCATATATTGCCAATCGGGTCACAGACAAATTGACTCAGGTCCATGATACCATTTGGTGTTGTCGCTCAGGTTCTGCTGCGGATACACAGGCCGTTGCTGATATCGTGCATTATCACCTGGGAATGTATGGCATAGTGAACAAAGAACCTCCAACGACCCAAACAGCTGCTGCGCTGTTCCAGGAACTGTGCTATGACAATAAGGATATGCTACGGTGAGCAAATATCTACCTGCTGCTGACAATCACTTTGCTGTATTCATTAGCTTTCAGCCTCACCAGTTTTCTTTCTTCTTTCTTTCTTTCTTTTCTTTCTTTCTTTCTTCTTTTTTGACTTCCTCCCTTGTATATTATAACTAAACTTATCCATGCTAATTGACTCTATTTACGCAAACAGCGCAGGGATCATTATTGCAGGTTATGACCAACGACATGGAGGTCAAGTGTACTCAATACCACTAGGTGGTTCGCTTCACAAACAATCATATGCCATCGGAGGCTCCGGGTCGACTTACATTTACGGATACTGCGATGCAAACTGGCGGGAAGGGATGACAGAGGAGGAAGGTATCGAGTTCGTGAAGAATTCCTTGCAGGAAGCGATAAAATGGGATGGCAGCTCCGGTGGTGTGATCCGGATGGTGGTGTTGACAGCAAAGGGTGCGGTGCGACATCTCTACCTCCCGGATAATAGATATACAGGGCCAGGTCCGAAATAGTGAGTAAAAATATAAGCCTCAGTGCCATGATTGCCCTTTTACACTTCCGCTGTAGCGATTCCTAATTACTCTAATATTCATCCATAGAATATGACTGTTAAAATCTGTATAGGTATAAATTATTTCCCCCTTTTTAGGTCCCTTCCCTGCCCCAGAGCTTTCAGAACTGATATGCATTATTAAAGTAAAGCAGCAACAGCAAATTGGTCAATGCAAAATAAATACATTGATATCATCAGCATTACTACTTTCTGCACAGATTTTGTTCAGAAGGTTCAATGCCTTGTGCTTTGAAACTTAGTACGAAGATTTATATCTTAGTTAACTTATTTGCTAAAGTTCTACCTTTTTTAAAGCCAATCTTACAAGCTAAATCCGTTACTCATTTTATATAAACTTGGAGGTTTGAGACCTTTCTGATCATGAAACATCACTGTTTCTGAGCCAGTCTAATGAGCAGAATGATAATTCACCAAACGCTTCAGATTGACTTTTTCCAAGCTAACTTCTGCAATACAGGTCCTCTGCCGTATAATATATGCAGTTCAATTACAGTTGATCATTTAATATTAAGATGCACTTTTATTCATAAGTTAAGCCACGGTCAGTCTTTACAGAAAAAAGTGTTGAAGCTTTTAACTGCTCAACATGCTTTCTGAACTTACTATCTATTGAAGCTTTTATTTCATAGTATGTTTTAGTTGAGGTTCAAGAGATATATTATAACCTTCAAAGTATATACGTCTATCTGAGAGGTATCTATTATGTTTAGATAAACTATTATGTTTAAATCATTTAGAGAGTGAGTGAAGTAAGAGAAGAAAGCTAATCATAGTATATTTCTCACTAAAGAATATTTTTTTCAGCAATTATTGATATATTATGTTCTTATTGATCTACTTTCAATGTGTTTTCATACTCTAGTTGAAAAGAAGTTACTATCATATGATTCTTCTAATCTATAACTATAATTAATTTTATTCCCCGCTGAGTGAAATTCCTCATTAAGTGAAAGATTATATAACTATAGCTCAATTAGCTAGATTTTAATTTAAAATATCTATATTCAATAATAATTAATTAATTTAATTTAATTGATACTAGGATTAGAATATTTTATTCTTTTATAATCAAATAAATTGCAGTTGTTGCATCATTGTGAAGCTTCTGAGTGCAGACAAAAGCTTGCCAATGAGGCTTATAAAGTTAAATAACAAACTGTTCAACAGACTTAGTAAATGAAAAAATAAAATTCTAAGCTTCTTGTCTAGTTAGACCTTTTTTAGATTGAATCTGATAATTAGATCTCTTTTATTTTTGCTTTGCAATCTTATTAATATTAAATATATTCTAATATTACTTTTTCATAATAGTAATATTGATTATTTCATATTTACAGATCTTGATAATTTAATCAAGCCCTTCTATCAAGCTATAAGAGGAATTTTCAAAACTTTGTCTCATAAAATTCTTGATCTTATCTGCTTGTCTATATAATTACTATGAATTGCTAAGTGTTTGAAGTATTCAAAATGACTATGAGTTATTGAATTAACTACTTGAGAGAGTAAAAGTTTAAAGCTGAATATCTAGTTGTTGAACAATCTAATCAGATTCAAATAAGACTATTTCAGTAGTTATAAAGTCACTTTAAACATTCTGAGTCTTAAAGACCTCTGTGTATATTGTAGAATAAATATTTAAAAAGTTGTTTTTCTTAATAGTATTGAATTTAAACTATATATATTATTTTATCAAGTCTTCATATACTATTTTAAAACAGTAAAAATATTAATATTCATAGACTATAGAAGATAATATGAATATACTGATATATAGAGAGAAATAATCTTATTATTTTTACAAAATTAATCAAATTTCAAAATAAAATAACTGCTATATTTATTTAAAATAAGTATAATATAAGTATCAATTCTATATGAATTGACAGTAGAGATAAACACTTTAGTAAGTCATTTCATCTTTATTGCATCTATAGTTCAGTTATTGACATTAACATCAAATCTTCAGTCATTTGATAAGTCTCAAATTAGCTTTTTTGAAGATTCTTAGCTTTCAGAATAATGTATGAAGATAGAACTCAGTCTAATATATTGATAAACTTGATTATAATAACTTATTCACAATTCTTAGACTATAGCAGCTTTGTCTGATCATAGCACTTAGTACTAGTAATGATTTTAATGATGATACATATTCTTATTGCAAAGTCAGTGTTATTAAAATTATATATATTTTTAGTCTGAATTTCATACTTTTGTCAAAATATTCTCTAGAATCTTAAATAAATTCTAAGTAACTTTAATATTCTCATATTTTATTTGCTCATGATTATAGCATCTGATATAGTGACATTAAAGCTTTGTATAGTGTTTAATCAGTCTTGAAAATCCAGTTCTTGTCAATACAGTGAGAGGTAAAGATGAATTATCATTAAGTAAGAAGATGATTGATTATATTCTCTATAAAGACTGACTGAGAAGATAATTCTTATTTAGATAAATCTAGCACTCATTCAACTATCAGATTCTCTTCAGCCTCTATCATCTTAGTTAAATTTTGCATGTAAATTCATATGTGCAGACCAGTTCTTTAGTTGATGATATAAAGTAGTGTAGAGAACATTGAATAAGTATGCATCTTCAGCAGTTGAGATTATTTCTTACTTCTTAATAGCAGATATCACAAGTTCAATTCTTCCCTCTATTTCTATAGAGTTTCTTGCTTTTTTATTAGAAATTGATGATATAATTGTGCATTGAAGTGGATGAGTTAGGAAATTGAAATTATTTAATTTAATCTTTCACTTGATGAGGAATTTTGCTTAATGGGGAAATTATATCATAATGAATAGTATAAGTTTTAGCTTTATGCTTTCTTTGTAGAAATGTATATATAGTTTTTTATTTTCTAAATGGTTCAATTATTAAATATATACTTTTATTTATAGAAATGTAATATTGAGTTTATATAGATTTATTATTTTTCTATATCCACTAATAGATGTATTACTGAATATAGTCTGAGACTACTCTAGTTTGTATGAGTAGTCAATCCTTTCCAAGTACGTTGGTCTGCTGATTGTCAAGCTTGGTGGCAACATAGGCGCAATGAAATATCTAGATGTATGCGGGGAATAATAAGCCAATACACTCTCTGCACATGCTACGTGGGAAATAAAGGCGTTCTCATTAGAATATAACATGTCCTAATCCCTTTAAAATTTGAAACAAGAAAACACGGAATTATTCTCTTCTGAGATAGCCCTCCTTTCAACCAGCATGAGATAGAAATATCAAGTAATCCGCCGAAATGCACCAAGAACCTAACACGCTGCCACCCAATGCGCCGGGTATAAAACTGCAGCTGAAAACTGGAAACTAAAAGAAGAGAGAGTGACCTGCAGTAAACTCACTTAATAAAGGAGGAACCTCGCATCCCTTAATATACTCGCCAATCAATAAATCGATGACTATAGAAACATCACCCTTGTAGCTCAGGCCTGCTTAGGTCTACCTCTCTTTTTACCAGGTGGTACCTTCGCGGCTACTTCTGGGGGTTCAGAAGGCTCGACACTCTCAACAGGAACCTCCTTCTCCACAGGCACACACCCCTGAGTAAAGAAAATGGCCGCAGACTTGTCATAATCGTTGGAAAAACTGTAATTATTTCCTGTAATCTCCAAAGGACAACTGTTATTATCATATCGTAACAAATATCCTCAACAAGGGCAGCGAGTAAACGGAGGGACTGAGAAAAGGGGAAACAAATAGTTAGAACTAACCTCGAGGAACTTGAAAAACGCATCCCTTTCCGGCGCTGAATTGAAGGCCTGACACGTCAACCCGTATTCGGCCATGATAGACGAAAAAAACCATGTGCATTTTCTTAGAGTTCTTTTGTCTCTTGACGGCGCCGGGAGGCATGTCAACAAACCCAGACCCAAGGAAGAAGTTGTTGAGAATTTTGGCGAAGCGGAATGTCGAATCCTTTACTTCGTGCGTCTCAATTGCGGAAGGGGCAAAGGCAATATCTGCTTCAATAATCAGCAAAAACAGCTTCCAATTAATACCTATTGCTCAAAAGTGGAAACATACCTATCATCTCTTCTTCCTGTGTGGCACTTTGGGTTACTGGGTCCCACTTCTTAACTGGGCCGTAGAATACACCCTGCTCTGTTTCCCACGGCTCAGCGTTGTCTATATCATCGTCATCATCAGATGGGTCGTCCCTAGATCTCTTCGATTTGGATTTGGATTTGGATCCCTTCCTAGTCGATTTTTTACCCTTCTTATCCATCCTGGTGTCCATTTCTTCCGTTCTAATAATTTCTTTGATGGTTGACAAGGGAAAGCGTTGACCGACTTCCGCAGTCCCATCTCCGTATACGCATCGTTCGTTGCGCCAATACGCCAGAGGTCGGACAGATATCCGACCAGAGCGGGTATGCTGTGCAGACTGATCTGAAGGTGTTTCTCTTTTGAGAATATATAGACTTCGGTTCTTCAAGGTCCCGCTTCGCTTGGTGATGTTCTTTACCACTGAATTTAGCTCTTCCTCCTGTTCAACCGACATCTGTAGATTTGATCGTCCGTATGACCCAGTCTTGTTTGCTCTCTTCGGTGCTCTAGAACTTTCTGCCTCCTCAGCAGAATCATGGTATACTTCCGGAGCTGCTACTTTCGGTTTTCTTCCTCGCCGCTTTGGTGCAGGTTTATCTGCAGAATCAGGGGCCGTATTTGATTCCACAGTAGGTTGCCGATGTGTCTGTCCAGAAGGGTTAGCGTTGACTGGGTGGTCGGAAACATTCTTGCGCTTCCTCTCTCGACCTGTGGTTTTCGCAACTATCGAGGGCGAATTGACATCTTCTTCAAGATCTTCGTCCGGAGCGTTATTCACATTGTCATCGCTATCATCCGAACTTTGGTCCTCTGGTAAACCTCCGTCTGCTTTTTCGTAGCTTTCGTGATAATCCCCGTGAGACTCGACAAAGTGCGTCTCCTCCATCTCTTCCTCATCGTCCTCCATGAGGTGATTACCATTATCAGAGAAGTCGGCAGGCTCGTCAACTTCCACGGAAGTTCCCAGGGGCGACTTGGTTGATGCTTGAGTATGCGAAAAATCAAGAGTTCTTTTGGCAGTGGTCCGTGCAGAGAGAGGACTGGAGGACTGTGCCTGCTGCGGAACGGAGGACGAACGAATCCCCGGGGTTCTGCGCGGGGAGCCAGACATTAAAGTCTTTATCGGGGATCGCGAGCGAGGAGGCAAAACGAAGGGATTTCGGTGACTACGTCGACCTGAAAGCACGTCCGCTGGTTCTGGGATGCTACCTAGAATCGCAATGAACTTAAGCAATCCTGCCTTTTCACATCCAGCATTATTGGCCGAAGCGACGGTGGTAGAAAAATCGTGTGAAGTATAAATCGAACAGAACCTACTATCGCCGGTTTCCATGTCATCCGAATTCAACGTATCATTTGCAAAGCCATTGCCATTAATTCTAAAGGACGATTTCTCCGGCGAGGAGAACATCCCGTCAATCTCTTCCATGCCATGTTCATCTAGCTTCCCTTCCTTTAGGGTGATACCAGTGCGTCTAGAGAAGTAATATCGAATTAGTTACCATACCATCTATGTGAAATTGCGAATAACTTCAAATTTGAGAAACCACATTTATATCTCAGATATAAAGAAATTACCTTCCAGCCTTCCCCACATTGGAATAGTCGAAATCGCGACTCTTTGTAGGTCCTCTAGGAGCCATCGTAAGAGCGGTATAGTTTGTTGATTATTAGGGTTCACGATCAGCCCGACATGCCACATTGACGGTGGGTTCGTGGTTATTCCAAACAAGCCGTACTCCCCGTATTCGACAGCGACAGTCAAAGGATGCCGTCCGCGTTGGCTATGAGGATATCTTTCCTTGAGCAGTTGACGTCTCGATGCCAGTAACTTGCAAATACCGCAGTTGTATCAACGCGAGCGGAACCGCGCTAAACCCAGTCTGTGCCGACGCGTCTTAGCTAAGCAACGTCACGTCTTCCTGCCAAATTGAATTGGGCTAAACATCAAGATTAAAATCACAACAACTTGAACACTTCACAAACCAACAGTTCAACCATATATATATATCTAGATTACCCTCAGTTCCCACAGTCTCAAACTACTCACCAAAGTAAACATCGACTATTAACTGCCTCTCTCAATGGATAAACAAGAATCCTCGGATAGCAATGTACGGTTCATACCGCCATCAATTCACCCGGCTACTCTCCTTTCTGGAGACTCATATGCCCATTACTCTCCATGTCCACCAGCTATAACTCCATCAACGCTCACGGAAACCCTAGATGGCTCCATGGAGCCTACACCATGTGTTCTGGGTGTTGACGAAGCCGGCAGGGGTCCGGTTCTGGGTCCAATGGTTTACAGCGCATTCTACCTCCCACTCTCACTCCATCACTCCCTCCTAGCCGAAGAACACCACTTTGATGACAGCAAAGTTCTCACTCCCGCTGTCCGCACAAATCTCATGCGCCTTCTTTGTACCCCAGACCATTCTCTAAACACATCTTGCGGCTGGGGGGTGAAGGTGATGTCTGCTCGAGATATAAGTACAGGCATGCTTCGATCAGGAACGGGAAATTACAACTTGAATGCTCAGGCCATGGACGCAACTATTGAACTTATTATTTGTATCGTAGAGAAGATGGGGGTTAATGTGAAAGAGGTATACATTGATACAGTTGGGAATCCAGAAACATACCAGAAGAAGTTAAAGCGGATATTCCCCGCGCTAAAAATTACCGTGACCAAAAAGGCAGACTCGCTTTATCCCTCTGTCAGCGCTGCAAGTGTATGCGCCAAAGTTACCAGGGATGTGGCTCTGGAACTTTGTTATGAGGCTTTAGTGAAGCAGCGCGGTGCGATGGAGCAAGAAGGCGCAGCAGATGGCTGGGGTAGCGGCTATCCATCAGATTCCAAATGTGTTGGATGGTTGAAAAACGACATGGACTCGCTTTTTGGGTGGGGAAATGAATGCAGATTTAGCTGGGGAACTGCAAGAGAACTTCTTGAATCGAATAGAGGTATCAAAGTGGACTGGCCGGTTGATGAAGACGTCGAAGCTCAACTATTAACAGACTTCTTCTCGTTTTCCAGGAGTGGAGCTGGATCTAATGAAAAAGCCGATGAGTTACGAGATTGGTACGGTCAAAGACTTCAGGAGGTATTCTGAAATTTAAAAGACGTATATAATAGACTATTATGATCGCTGCAAATAACTATATAATGGTGATAGTGAAATTGAAAACTTCAAAGCAACCCAGCGATGCCTTGCCGTTGTTAAACCTTATGCATCTAGCCGGCTCTTTACAATAGTTCCCTATGATATACAGATATCCCAGTCCCTCGAAACACATTTAAAATAGAAAAGGGGAAATAATATATACAATAACACAACGCTGGGAGGCTAAGAAAGCAAACAGACACAAATGAACAAGGTTTCTCTGATCAGAGAGTGGCAGTTGAGAAATAGTAGTTGTCCCAGAGGTACTCATAATCTTCAACGATACCGCCAATTAATCCAAGTAATGGCTTGCCTTCAAGTTTTCGAATGAATCGTTGCAACCAAACCCTACACAACAATGTTAGTTTCAATATGCCATTGGATGAAACCAACTCGATGAAAATGCCAAACATACTTTGTAATATTCTCGTAGAATGCGCCCCTCATTGCCCACCAACCCATTGCCCAACCTCGTTTCCGCAACTCCTCTCTCTCTAGAGCGGTCAGCCCCCGCAACCCACCTGCGACTCTTTCCCGGAAGTCCTTGTTGGCCAGTTGTCTGCATCCGTATTCCATGCCAAAGCCAATAAGCCATGGCGTCCAGCTCTTCTTCTTACCTCTCCACTTCTGCAATGCCAGGGCGTAAATGAGTGGTCGAAGGATGTACAACACCTCCGCAAGCTGACCCTGCCCGGTAACCCGATGCAGGAGGCTTTTGGGAGGCTTGATGTCGTCTGCAGTAAGGACTCTGGATATTAGGTAATTCGATATGTTGCTGACATCCGGCAAAGATGGTAGCGACAGGCCAGTTCTAGGCATCGTCCAACTTAGGTCGGCGACAGATCCTGCTTCACTAGGAGGCGCCTCTGTGTCATCCCAAGGGTTTCTTTCCTTCTCTTCTTCAGGACTCCTTGGATCGACTTCCCTTTCGGGCAGAGGAGGGCTAACCAGGGGTCTAGAATTGGTTAATCTAAGCAACATTAGTCGGCATATTGTTTTGATGCCTTCGATAAACACAACTACACGCCAGCGGATTTTCTCTCCTCGTCGTCGCGCTATCATTTCCCAGAGTAACTCCGTGTATTGGACCATCTGTAAAGTCAAGGCTACCCGCCGGTAGAGTGCGGAGCGCACAGACCAATATTTGGTATATCGCGAATGGGGTGTAGGGTTAGGACGAGGGATGGCGGCAGGAAGCCGAGAAATGACACGTGAGACAAGGGAATCATGATAAAGAGAAAGAAGTTGAACTCCAGAATGGACTGCGTAAACCTATCGTTAAATGCGCTCATAGATCGTGTGAACGTGCTCCGTAGATTTTTTGGATATTGGCAGACTTACGCGACTCGGAAGCTAATTCAGACTCTCGAAATCGTCCTGGTGAGAAGAAAACTGGTTAGCTGACGTTGACAAAGAGTCTATTTGTATGCGCTGCGCAAGAGAAGCGATAAAGCATCCCTACCGGGAATAATATACGTCAGAGACCTCAATCCAGACTCGATCTGGCTAACGGTATTTGAGTTCTTAGCTACAAACTCCTCATACACCTCCAACAGCTTCGCGGGTTTGGATGACGCTGATGACAACTGATTCCTAGTCTTCTTTGAAGACTCCGTCTCGATATGATGAGGGGATCCCAAGGTAGACATTGTCATGTCTACCAAATAAAAGGTACACCTATATTAACAGCGGTTGTTGTGGGTTGTTGGAATGATGTAAGATAGAGCGTTGGAGATACAAAAGACATCATATTCACGTGATCCGAAGTCAATTGCTTGGGGCAAGTTCCTCTGTGCCGAGGCAATTCGGAACCTCGTGATGGTGAACAACGCCGAAGTCTAATATCAATGGCATTTCAATGCGGAGTATAAACGGAAAAATGTCTCGATGAAACAACTCAACAAAGATTTGTACTCGTTTTATGATTCTATAGTTTTACCTTAGAGTAAGCAACTGATTTCTTGAATATTTTCTGCTGAAAGTTTTAGCTTCTCCACGCTGCAGATTAGACACAAACTGGTATTTTGCCGATGACACTGGCGTTATACGCAATTTCAAAATCCCGTCGATGAGAGCGAAGTACTGTACATAATTGGCTTTAAAATACTCCCTAATAGTATCCCATCAGCTCCAACTGGAGAGTGTATCTATAAATATATATCGAGTTCAGCTTTCTCAGAGAAATAAAATAGAAGAAACACTACCCAGCATTGAACAGAGCATTTATCAACCGATAAGCAATCTCTAAGAAGATCCATCTATCTATACATCCTCCAGATCACTCATCAGCAAACCTCCACAATCCTCCAGGCCTCATGGCCTCCATATAGCGCTCTGCCAACTTCTCCTGCTCTGCTTCCCTCGCCTCCTGCCAATCGCGCTCCAATTCTTGAGTACTTGGCATATCCGTCCGCCAGAACCCAGGAGGCGAACGCGCTCGCTCATGGACATATCTATGCTTGCCAAACTGGTTGGCAAGATGCCTCGTTCGCGCATCAAGGAGTAGCTCCTGCAGCTCCTTATTCGTCATAGATTCTAAGACAACTTTATTATCTCCCAAGTATTCATCAAGCACGTTTCTGTCCTCCCGGTCTAAATACTCCCATGACAAGTCTTTTTTTTTGTCCGCAGTTAGTTCGCCGAACCCTTTCAGCTTCGCCATGGCGCGAAATCCTTTCCCACAGCATTCTGGGCGAATACAGCCCGGAAGGCATTTTCTCAGGTCTTTCCTGCGAACTACTTCGTCAAATGCATAATCGAGTCCCTGGTTTCTTTCCGGATTGAGTCTGAAGTGCTCAAATCCCAGTCGATGGAGGGGTCGTGCTCGAAAGGGCTCGCTCTCGGGGGATATTTCATCGTCATCTCGGGGTTGAGGAGGTGCAGGGCGACGTAAATTTCGCCGAGGTGGCGGTGGGGGGCGTTGTCGACTTGATGAATTTCTCTTCTCCACAGTTTGCGGGCGAGAGCATCTAGGTGTAACTGAGCTAGATGACACCTTGCTAGGAGTTCCAAGAGGCAATTTTTCCATTGTTTCAGGAATGCGAAACGGGGAGTTCAGCACAGGTCGAAACCATGACTGGTCCCCCAGAAAGGGATCTTCCAGGCAACTGGTAGTAGGACAAATGCCGTTCTTAATTCTTGCATTTTCCCGCAGCTGGTCGGTAACGGGCCTAGTTTTCGTTTTCGAATGGCTCGTTTCTTCACCATCCTCTGTCACTAGATGTACTGCATCTGCACCCCTGGGATTGTACCTGCTTCGTTTGGTTTCCTGGTCTTTAGTGTATCCATGTGATTGTCGAATAGAGGAGATATTGCAATTCACAGGCTGAAGAGCCAAGCGCCGTTTGGTCCCAATTATTTGGAGTCCATCCAGATCAGTTTGCTCTACTTTGACCGCCTCTCGCTCCTCCAAAACAGCAAACTTAGTTCTTGGAGGTTTAAGTGGCGGAGGAGTAGTATGGTTCGTTGATCCAGTGTCAATGTCATTTGTCTCGCAAGTGCTTGGATCCAGACAGTCATCATCATCATCATCAGTCGTCCCCTGAATTGTTTGAAGCGGGCTTCTTGGGGTAGGTTCACTCTTTACGGCAACAGATCTGGTGAAACTGCCCGCCTCGAGGGGTTTCGTGCCGGCACTGGGCGCTGGTCGTTCACAGTTTCGCCGAGCGATCACCCTCACTGGCCTTTCTGAGACGAAGATTGGACTAACAGATGGAGAAGAACTAGGGAACATACACGGTTCATCAGCGTAACGTGGGTCCTGAGTTTGAGTCGGAGTTATATCTGAGGAGGTGGGTCCAGGGGAATGCTGGTTTGTCAGCTCTTCAGGAATCCCTCTTGCTCGAGAGTTTGAGCTAAGCAAAGGCGGTGAGCCAGGCTCCAGCGCTCCATCAGAGATTCCAATGGCTATCCTCTCCATTCCCGTAGCCATTTCATGCGGGCGAGGTTCAGGTGTTTGATCCGCAGGTCCAATCGTAGCTAAACCGGTTGTCGATGCCTCTTCCACCTGCCCATGATGCCGTTGGTTTTGTGGGACACGAGATGTAATTTCATTGACTCTCTGGAAAACAACTCTCTTTCCGCGAACATGAACGTCAAATGAATCACGTTCAAAGCAGGTATTCCAAGAAGAAACTTTGTCTTTACAGTTTTTCAGGTTTCTCTTGACAGTGAAAAAGGACTTGATCAGGCTGGCATTTTCTTGGAATAGCTGCTCATATCGCTTTGCAAGGCTCGCGTAATGCTCGTATGAAATAGTGACAGGCTTTTCAGCTTTCCCTACTGAATCATGGAGGACCATATTCGGAGCATATTGTTGTCTGTTGTCAAGGAGTCTCTTTTCCAGACCGTCAACTGCGTCGTTGGACTCCAGATTTTCGAGATATCGTTCTAGGTCCGCATTCTCCGTTTCCAGAGCTATTATACGTGAGTCCCGGTGCTTGAGTTTTTCTTCAAGCTCCGCATTTCCTCGCTTCCACTGTCGACATTGGTTGACCAGTTGACCGACCTGTTCAGCCAAGGTGCAAAAATCGCGTTCCTCCATCAGGACTTTCTAAGACGACCTCACGATAAAGGAAATAGAAACACCAAGAATCATAGCTCCCACAAAGTCAGGAAATGTTGAAAAGTGCTTACCCCTGGGTAAATTTTTAAACTAATATAAATAGACTACTGCAAAAAGTGCATATTTTATATAGAAGCCAAGAACATCAATGGACGTTGATGTCTACAAGCCCAACACGCCAAAACGCGTGGTCACTGACTAGTTAGTGAGTGGTAACGTGACTCTCCACGCCCCGGTCCCGAGCATTAGTTATATCCCACAGCACAGTGCACAATTGCTGCAAAGCAATCATAATACGTGTTTCTCAAGGGACAGTTCTAATTTGATACCGAGATAACAAACCTGGCCGCATAAAGTTTGCGATGGCCAAAATTTAAACGGATTATTCCGCCACTGCAAGCTACTGCAGTAAACTATCCTATGCAATGCAACGACTCTTCTTGATCGATTGAGTTCCGGCTTCGCTGGGGTTCAGGAATATCAAACTAAGCATCCAATTTTCTTTTTCCTGAGCTGTCTTCCAATCGGACCCCTAAACGGAAGCGATAATCGTCCATTCCATCGGGGGCTTATAGCATCCCTGGTATCAATGTAACCTTATTAACTATATAGAACACTACGCAAGTGGGCTACATAAGTGAGGGGCGAAGCGTCAAACAAACGAGGACAGAATCATTAGTTACTCCAAAGCGAACAAAAAATGGAATAAGAGACAGCCCATTGCCACTTCCCGGGGTTATGTCATCATCAAACGGGAAAAAATGAACAGTCATCAGCAGAGGAGCTTGTTGCAGGATTAGAGAGCTACATTGGGAAGGAAAAGTTTCAAGAAATGCGGAAGAGCACCGTGGATAAAGTAGACGCATGACAAGATCGACGGAGGAGGTGCCGGTGAAGCATTATTACATCATGGGATCTATGTCATCAGTGTTGACCGCAGCAGCGATGATGGCCTGAAGCTGACCTCATGGGTTTTCAAACATCGAGTTCGCACCCTTCTTTCAAGACATCTCCGGCTGTTCTTTTGACGAAGCAAGTAAATCCAAGGCGGAACTTATACTCTGTCCGGAAAACAAAACCCAGCTGCCATGTTATCCTGCCGGCCTTCTGGTACAGTCTACATATTTTGTCCGGCAACTCTAGAGGAGTTCTATGGAGATAGTTAATGGTCTCTTTTCGCATCGTGGAAGGGTTCCCATACAATGACAGGGGGCCAATTTCGTCACATCGAACCTACCCCGATCCGTCTTCAACATAATCGGATATTGATTCACTCCCCTGATTTAACAATGTGGTATCCGCAGGCATGGGGGGGGGGGTCGGTATTTTCATGAAGCTATTCCCCTCTACATGAAAGAGGCGTCATGGAAGATTAGAATAGTCTACATGATAACGTAGAGCAATGGCTCACAATAGAGTCCATTCAGTGCCAAGATTAGACAGTGCCAAATAATTGCATGAAAGACGGGATCGCAATTCCAGTGGTTAAAGAGCACTCACTGGCTGCCGATCAGAGAATAGCAGCGTTAAGTTGGGGTGTTGGGAGGGTGAAGTCACGTTATCACGTGGCGATAAGCCATCACTAGTTATCAGCAAGCCGCCCCCCAATGACGAACCTTCAAGCAGAAGGGAGCAGCCGATTCTCCTCCTCCCATATATCTATCTCAGTAATGCCCTATATCCATATACATGACCATACGTGTTTTGTGTCGGTTTAACTACTATTTGGATTGGATCTCCTGCCTCAGAGATGTCGAAACGTGGCCCTGACGGTTTCCTAGCTGATATGCCGCTGGCGAAACGGATGCGCCCAGATGATGCCAGCAAGCAAGATCTCCTTTCGAGATTGAGCGACGAGCTCATACTTCATATCTTGAGCTTTCTCCCCACTCAGTCACTGAGTCTTTGCCAGAGGTATTGATATTACCATTCCGCCACATACGCCATCAACCTGGCTTAACCCCGTATCAATAATACCTCAGTAAAATCTCACATAAAAATTCAATCTAGATTATCGCGTCGATTCTATGGACTCGCGGGCGATTCAGAGCTATGGAAGGAAAAATACTATGCGCGCTGGGTGTGGCCTCGCGCCCGTCGAATTCGTCATCTCAAGGACTCTGGCCTCTCCACCAGACCCGCCGGCTATACCCCCAGGCCATCGAGGTGGATTGGTCATGAAAACTCGTCCAAAGATCTGGAGCATGCAGATTGGAAGAAACAATATCGCCTGCGACATAACTGGTCCAGGGGATCTTGTCGAGTCACGGAAGTTGAGGTCGCACAACCTTTCGTCCCGCCAGTGTTAGTGAAGCTCTGTAAGGCGCTGGTATTTACGGCGGACGCGAGTAACGGGCTTCGCGCATGGACTACCAGGGATACGAAATCATGCCTGGCTCAACAGCCACTCTTTGATACAAAAGGAGAAGAGCGATCTGATTCCACGCCCACCTCGATTGCGGTTGCGCCGCGGGACGATGCGGAAGGCGACTTCGAAGTCACTGTTGGATTTGAAGATGGGAGCTACAGCGTCTATTTTCTGAGCTGCAATAGCACACGGTTTGATTTTCAATTCTCACACCCTGCATCGTCGAATGGGGCCATTACCGCTCTCGCATCGTCGTCCTCGTACCTCCTTACACTCTCCCAGAATCAAACCCTATCTCTCTATCGTTTCTGTTCCAAACCCCACCCAGAAGGGCAGGAGGTGCAAGCCACGAAGTCACCCAAACTAATCGCGTCCCTCAAAGCCAACAACGTCTTTGCGCCACTGTCCCTCTCTATCCGGTCATTACCAACTGAAATCGTCGCATCCATAGCATACAGTTTCTCTCGCATCGGTTGCGGGTGGTCAGTTGGGCTCCAGGAGCTTCGGCTAAATCAAGATGGCGAGAGTCTAGGCTCTCAACTTGCGACGACGGTAGATCCGCAATTTTGCGCCCACCCCTTAAGCCCGTTGATGGCAAGGGTAAATGGCAAATCGCGATCGCAAAGAGCTGGCAACAGTGACAAAAACGGATCCGTCACCTCCTCCTCTGCGTCGCCGTCACTCTCATACACCCAGGCACCAACATCACTGTCATACTGCCATCCCTATCTACTCACGTCCCATGCCGACAACACGTTAACAATGTACCTGGTTGTGTCCACCTCCAACTCTCTCACGATTAAAGCCGGTCGCAGGCTTTGGGGCCACACATCCTCCGTGTCCGGTGTACAGGTCAGTGACCGCGGCAAGGCCGTGTCTGTGAGTTCCTGTGGCGGCGAAATACGCATCTGGGAGTTGGAAGATATGATCTCATCCCATGCGCATTCTTCAACTAGAATGCTGCAGCGGGATGACAGTGTTCAGATCAGCCCTGAAAACGAACTCGAGAATGAAAGCGATTCTTGGAAACGACAGCGGCGCCTACCGCACCATCAGAAGCAGCAGCGGCAGTCAATGGATCTAGAGTTAGTTTCGGAGGCTATTGAGAGACGCGGGGATGGACTGGGGTTGGCTCTTGAAGATATGTCGAGGGAATTGAAATGGGCGCGCATGCGAGGGTGGGTAGGGTTTGATGATGAGCAGGTTGTTGTCCTCCATGAGAGGGAGGCGGGGACGCAGTTGCTTGGTTGTTACGATTTCACGTAGGCGTATAGATATATAACTATATATATATATATATATATATATATAAGAATTGAGATAAATTTCTACATGTTCATCGCCAATGACGTCTTATTTTTCCAAATATAGAGATTGGTTGTTGGAATTGCCAAGACTTCCCTGGTGGTTAGGTTCATGTATCTCAACTCCTTGCTGGAAGCATCACGATGAGACAAGACGTGGAGTTGAACTGAAATACGTAAACTTTGAAAAGAGTATTAAAAACATACATGCTCCATCTACACCTCCCTTCGCTCAAGATATGTAACTGAACACAAGCACGGGAAGCAATACGAACCAGTCTCTTACAAACCAGCAACATCCCGCAGCTCAGCATTAAAATCGCAATATTTGAATGCTAAAATGAAATCCAGATCTCACAAATGTTATCCCCTATGCATGCATGGTTCCCGAAACCCCGGGGGGGGGTTGGTGGGGGGTGGAAAAAAGGGACAAAGCCAGCTTTCAAGAAAATACTACCCCAATTTCGCCCTCCTTTCGTCCTTCCGGAGCAACCTTCGGCTTCCCTTGCCCTGTCCCGCCAGTGTGCAACGGCCCCCTCTCCCAGTGGTTCTAGGGCCCTTAGCTGGTGCTACTAGACGGGTCGTGCAGGTTGCAGGTAATGGATGGGATTCCCATGCGTTTAAAATAACTAGGGATAGCTTCTGGGACCTTGGAGGCAGATTGAGGATACGACAGGGACCTTGGGAGGAAGATTGCCAGCGTGGTATATAAATGTGACATAATACCCCCTCGATGTATTTCACTCTTTCGATATGCTTTCTTTCTTTCTTTCTTTCTTTCTTTCTTTCTTTCTTTCTTTTTCTTTCTCTTCTTTCTGCGTTTTGCAGTCTGGCGAAACCTGCTATTTTTGAAGGGGAAATAGTCCGTAACTTGACACTCCAAAAACTCCATCTGCGATCATGCAGTCTTCTTCACAGGAAACCTCAATGGAAAGCCTAATTCTGAAACCAGATCCCGACTTGGGACAGCGGCAACTGACAGACGATGAGATGATATATGCATTGGCAATGCCGATTCTGTTCTTTTGCTGTGGAATTAATCCTGATGTATAAGGGGGGAAGCTCAACAAGCATGATGCTACCTTGAAACAAATAACTAGTTACATATCAGGCAAGGCAAGCAAAGAGTCGAGAAAACATGCACGGATGGACTGGAGCCCACCACGCACAGATCAAGGCGGCAGCACCATCAAACCGGAGCACCATTGTTCAATCTATTCCATCTGTCATCCTTCGCACTTGAAATGTTGTTTGATTGTTTAATAGGAGACCTCAGCCCTCGGTCACTGAAACTGAACTGAACTAACTAACTGATTAACAGACTAACCCAAACAAAATGCGGCGCGGTTGAATTGCTATGGGTTAATTTTTTTTTTTTTTTCTCGCCGCCCAGAACAGGTGACTTTTGGCTGCGCTCATCAAACATCGAAAAATCTCCGGTCACGATTTTTCTTTTTATTTCCCTTTTTCTCTCCACTGGCGTCAGTTTCTTACAAATTCACACGGTCCCTTCTTCTCTTCTCTATACTCGCACTCTTTCTCTCTCCGCACCATCTATCCGCTCTGCGATTGTTGCCGTACGTATTCCGGACCCTGCCCTGCTCTGTTACTTCAGTTAGTTGTGGTGGCATCACATTGGCCACTCGCTTCGAGCCACCACCGCCTTACAAAGCTTCCCCGCATCGCACTGTGCTGCAATTTTTGACATTTTCACTTTCTCACATTTCCAGATCTTATTAATTTTCAGTTTTCTTTATTTTTTGATTTTTACCCCCTTTCAAAAAGTCTCTCTGCTGACTTAGCCGCTATTTTTACTTTTCCATTCTCAGGAACACAACGACAACGACGTATTTAAAACCCTCTTCTTGCTCTCTTCGAACCGATTGGATTTAAATACGATCTACAAAAGATCATCACTCTGGTCCCTTCAATCATCAATTCCTCCCTTTCAGTCCTTATCCTCCAAAAAGAAGTATCTTTTTTTTCAGCCGCCAAGATGGATTACCAGTCAGGTGGCCGTGGATGCTTCAACTGTAAGTTTTGTTAGCCGGACAGGCTTTTTTCATATGCTCTCGCCCTGTATCTCTCTCTCTTTCCCCCACCCCTTTGTATCCCCTCCTCTCCATTCTGGAGATATCCTTTAACGGTGCTGCGGGCGTTGGTTGAATTGTTGTTTCCTCCGTACCGTTTCTCCAGATCGGAATTTTCATCATTTGTCGCGCAAAACCGCGAATAACTGACCACATTCTCGACCCTTGTGAATTGTTTAAATCTCGAAATAACCCCTTTGTGCTCTACGATGGCCTAACAATCCATTTTCCATAAACCATTCTCAGCCCCGCATCATTAATAACAAACCACATGGATTCAGATTTGCTAACAAGATTTCCGTTCCAGGTGGCGATGCCTCTCATCAGGTTAATATGTTTTGCGCCCTGTGGATTCGTGGATGGCATTGATTTGTGTTTTTTATCCCCCTATTAGGCTCGCGACTGCCCCAAGAAAGGAACTCCTACCTGGTAAGTCGTGCTCATTAATTACCTTCTCCTATCACATCTCATTTGCATATCTAACTTCCGTTTAGTTACAACTGTGGTGGTAAGTTGCCTAGATCCCCGGCTCCAGAAATCTTGATATTCTAATGCGGTTATTCTTGCGTTTTTCAGGACAGGGACACGTCAGTAAGTAAAACTTAAAAAACCGCAATCGTCCAGCCGACGATCTCTTGAACTTTCCATCTAACCTCAATCCCCCAATTCTAGGCCGTGAATGTACCGCTGCACCCAAAGAGAAGACCTGCTACCGATGTGGTCAGGGCGGACACATCTCCCGTGACTGCACATCTGCCGGTTCCGGAGACAGCTACACCCCCAGCGGAGGTTACTCAGGTGGAGGAGGAGCTAGTAGCCAGGAATGCTATAAGTGTGGTCAGGTTGGACACATCGCCCGAAACTGCTCCCAGGGATACGGCTCCGGTGGATATGGCGGTGGTGCTGGTGGCTACGGAGGTGGCTATGGTGGCAACCGTCAACAAACTTGCTACTCTTGTGGTGGTTTCGGCCACATGGCTCGCGACTGCACGCAGGGACAAAAGTGCTACAACTGTATGTTTGATGTCCCTCAATTTTCTCCTCCCCTCACTACCTATCTCTCTCTCTTTCCCCCTTCCATTCAAGCATTATATCTAATCCTTATGATTTGTTTTCGTTCGTGTTTAAAGGCGGCGAAGTTGGTCACGTCTCCCGAGACTGCCCCACCGAAGTCAAGGGCGAGCGTGTTTGCTACAAATGCAAGCAGCCCGGCCACGTCCAGGCAGCCTGCCCCAACTAAGCATCTGAAAAAAAGTTGGGTGGGAGCGTCGTGAGAAAAGAACGAGGAGCTTTTAGTGTGTGTTTTTCTTTCCTTCCAGCCAGCTCGGGGCATTGAAAGAAATTCACGCCCAGTTGGTTGGCGGAATAATGGCTTGGGTCATGACTAACTCAGAACATTTTATTTCCCCTTTTTCTTTTTGTCAAATCATGAGATATGCCTCCCTTTCCCTTTTGTTTATGCTACCTATTACTTCTACTTGCTACTACAACTTCACACAAACAAAACTTTTTCTTCTACACATATACAAAACGCACACAAGCACAGAAAACCACCCCTTCATGGCCTGGATTGGGCACACCAAAATGAATTCAAGGAAAGTATTGGTAGGGAAAACAAGATGGAAATGGTGGTAAAAGGGATGACAGTGCAGAAAGTTAATATATGGGATGAACATATCAAGATTGAGAGAAGGCGAGGAAAGGCAAAGCAAACACACATACATGGATGCATGCATGCAAACACACAGGCATGCAGACTCGCTAAGAAAGGGGCCCAAAATTGGCATTTCTATTATATTTTTATGCCTTTTTTCTTTTTCTTTTTTTTAAAAAAAAAAAGAAAAAAAAATCATTGGACTTTTATTGCTGTGTATTATTAAACCTGCATTTTCTATCCTGATTAACCATCTGTGTTTCTTCTATCTTTTACCCCTTTCAATTTAATAACTAATATGTGTTTTCTTCAATCCTCACAGAGGAAGAATCTTTTTTACCGACATAACTACAGGTACAAGGCCTTACCTATTTATTAACTCTCTACATTGGAGAGCGCATTTTTTATTTCCCCCTCTCATTTAAAAGTTCTTACTCTCTTTTATCTGCTTCAACGGATTTCGGACGAAGATTACCAGAAATGATTTACATATGTCATCATACTTACAGTTATACGAAAGGGAAATCATTTTCCTCTTTCATCAATATCATTCTGAGTGGCCTTTGCTCTCCCTCATAGTATTTCATCTCACTTCACGTATACCGCGCTTGTGTCAATCGTCCACTCTCATAGCATCTGAGAGAGAAGTACTTAGCTTCTTTTTGAGTCAGTGATCTACTTTTCTCTCCTTAGTGTTTCCTGTCGCTCTTCTTGACTCTGATTCCGTTCATCTTATCCAAAGGTGAGGAGAAGAAAGGGAATGAAAACCGTTATCAATTATCTCATATCTTGATTGCCAGCGCAGGTATGTACTGCACTGTTCATAAAGCAATCAAGACAGCATGCATCATCACCGAATGTCTCTTAAGTTCACAGTTACTATACATACACGAGTTCACGTCAAAGTTGGGATTGATGTGGGAGATAAATTCAGCATAAACATCCCTAAATATGATAGAGAGCAGCGGGCTAGAATATATTAAAGAGGAGTATCGTTCATTTAGGTTCAGACAAAATATGAGAACACCTTGGGTCAAGCCTTGCTTCAAAAATTCCAACAATAGCAGAGGCAGGAGAAGAGACAGCTTGGCCTTCAGTCGCAATATTCAAACGTCGAAATTCGGGGTCATCTTCACCATCCACGTACACTTATCCCCCCAAACCATCCCTATTCCCATTTACCATACCCAGATGTCTATTAGCTACTTTCATCGTCTCCCCCCAAATCCATATCCCCAACAACCTCCCACCCTACCTCTCCAACTTCTTCACCCGCTTCCCCACCCCCTTTCGAACGTCCCAGCACTAAGCCCCTTAAACACCCACCTCCTCCCCATAGGCGCCTGATAAATCTCCATCCTGCATGCCTCTTCATACGTCGGGATCCCATGGTTGCGCTGTATGGCTTCTTCTCCTTATTACGATATTACCCGCCCGCACACTCATTTACGGCGGCTTGTAGCTCCGCATCGCTGAGTTCTTCGCCGGCTGCAGTGTAGGAGCCTGTTGGATAGGCGTTGTGTTGGCTTCAGGAGGGGACCCCATCGAGGAAGTAGGTGGTTATAGAGGAGTGGGGGGGGCATAATGAATGGTTCTGCTAAGGGTAATGTTAGTCACAGTTGTTGGGCGATGGCCAACTCGAGGATTCTGATCAGGACTTGCTAAGGATGCTAAGTTTGAAGTATTTGTTCGATATGCTGTCGATGAAGTGTTGTGCCGGTTGATGGCTAATACGGCTAACATGCCCCCCAATGCCATGAATCCTCGGGGTCCCGGCGACATAGACGGGGTTTGACGCCGTGGCTCGACTCGATTTTCACAGTTCCGGGAGTTTCTGGTTCTCTGATTCAGTTTTGTTAGCTAAAGGTGTCCGGGACAGAATTGGGGAGTGTAGAATAAATGTATGGAAATGTTTGTATGTACGTTGCTCGATCCACCTTCCCAGGGACCTCGACAGCTCACAGTATCCTCTAAGCGTCGCGGATAATCAGAGTGGAGGCAGTCTTATTGGCATATGACCAGCCTATACACGTACTTCCTCGTCAGGTTTCGCATGTTAGCGGCCTCTGTCTTGTAGAGTACGTTCATGATAGGTTGTTTGTAAGATAATAGATCGAGTCCCTTCGCATCCCCACTGCTGCTCTCTCCTGTGCTCTCCTCACTTGTCTCCTCATTGCACTCACCACTACTCTCACCACTGCTGTCTCGGTTGCCCTCTCTACTTCGTCCTACTAACTCAAACCTCAAACCTCATCCAAAGCCGATCCAGCCTCGCCATTTCTTCTAGCTACTCCTGTCTCTATCGATTCCTGGCCTGCATCTCCTCCGCAGCGCTTCTCTCGACGATCAACCGAATCAGCTACTCCTCCTCATTATATCTGGCACACTGGGCCGCCGCAGCTGCAGCGGCAGACTCACGAAGGATTCTTTCTTCAGCCCGCAGGTGGGGGATATCATGGCTTTTTGCAGGCTTTGCTGGTGTTCTTCGTGTAACCGGAGGCTCTCTTGTAACGCTCGGGTGAGCATATTGTTGTTGTCTTCCATGGTTTTGTGATTGCTGACTGTTCAAGGAGAGACTGCACGAATGAGGGATCGTTTTTCAGGTCCTTTTCCTTTTGGTGTGCTGGAGGAGTTAGTATATGGGTTTTCGATGTACGGCAGGTTTTGTTTTGAAGATGTCGGAGCAAAGCTCTGCGAGGGAGTTAGTACTGACTGGAGCTCTCCTTATAAAAGCTCCCTTGCTTCTTGGATTGCCATAGTGAATGATGGAGTGAAGATTAAAGCCTTCAAACTTGACGATTGCGCAAGTTGTACATTCAACTTGCAATACTGTTGTGAAAACCGTGATGCGTTTAAATGTCTGTAATAACAAAAAGATGTAAAGTGACCAAAAACAGAAACGAAATGGCATTAGATTTAATACAGATCACAGTGCCAAAAGAGAAAAAAAGTAGCAGGCGCAAATATATAAGCTTATTACAAGAGGGAAGGGGTATATATCGCAATCAAACTTCCACGAAGTCAGCTTGCTTTTCATAGAATGTTTATGAACTGCAACTACACATTGTCGCTCGCTGGTGCCGTGGAACATCTCCGCAGAATCGCTCTTCCTCATCCTTATTCAAGTCCCACCCATCCTGGAACGGATTGAGGGCCATATGCATGACGCGGTCGAGAATTTTTCGATCACCCTTGTTCTCGACACGCTGAATCACCTCTTCAAGAACCCAGGAACGTGGGAGGAACTATATATCAATATTAGTAACTTCTATCAAATCGCGCAACACTGCATGCGTCCATCTTAGATGGTGAAAATGATGAATAATACCCACCTTTGGGTTAGCAGCCTTCATGGCCTTCTGCCTCTTTTCATCCGTTACAGCAGCCCAATCTTCAGCGATACGTTCTCTCCACGAAGAAAGCCATTTAGAGATACGCTCCCTGGCCGACTCTTCAGTATTCCCTATACCGCCAACCCCTTCTTTATGGAAAAAGATACTGGCGATAGCCTTTCTCTGCTCATCAGTTTCGATATCAGCAAGAGAAATACCAGACAAATGTCTGAAAAAGTGGTTGAAATCAAGCTCGAGAGCCTCGAGGGTGTCAAGCAGTTCCGAAAATAACACCTCAAAATCAGATTCTTTGCGAGTTTTCAACCCCAAACGTGCTGACATGAGTCGTTTGTATTCGTTCATAAATACGGTTTTATATTCTTCGCAAATGTTGCCTATGAGCTTCTCCGCTCTTTGCACAAGGGTCTTGCCAAATTCCTCCGTAACTCCCTTCGTAACGAAAGCCTCGTCATCCACCTGGTCTCCAGCACCCATTAGCTCACCCAGGGACTCCCCAAGTCGCACCAGGTTCCACCAAATTACACTGGGTTGGTTCTTATATGAATATCGAAGGAGCTGGTCGTCATGATTCGGGGTATACTGGGGGTCAAAGTTATCCATAAAAGCGAATGGTCCGTAGTCGAGAGACAGCCCGATAATAGATGTATTGTCCGTGTTTAAGACACCATTCATAAAGCCATAGGCCTGCCATGCGGCAACGGTCTTTGCATTACGTCGTACTATTTCTCGATAGAGGCGCGTAAAGCGGTTCTCCTCAACACCTTCGCCTCCTTGTATTGCGTCTTTCGGTACTCCCCTCAGAGGAGTGTCGACGGATGGTGGATCTTGACCAAGTGTCGCTGGTAGAGACAAAGCCGCTGGGAGTGATTCCCAACCAGGAAGAACATCTTCAGCGGCATAGGTTGCAAGCTTCCTGGTGAGGTTTCGATCTCCACGAGACCGAAGAAGGTCGAATGTTCCGATCCTTATCCAAGATTCTGCAAAACGTGTCACAATCGCACCAGGTTCTAGCCGTTCTCTTATCACTTTAGAATTGGGTAAAAGCACAAGTGAAAGAGCACGGGTTGTGGGGATGCCCAACGCATTCAAAGCTAGGAGCAGGGTTAGAAAAGGAGTCAAATCAGATGTATTCTATGGAATGGGAATATCCACCTTCTGAAACAATATACTCCCTGATGCTCGAACGGAGGACCGCTTTCCCATCTGCGAATCTAGAATAAGGAGTTCTGCCAGCCCCTTTTATCTGAACCTCATATCGAATTTTAGTTACCGGATTCGTAGATTCGAAGAGGCTGATTGCGCGCTAGACAGGCTGTTAAACTCATAATGGCTCATTGCCAATAGATAGATAACAAATATAAGATGCAACTAAACGCACCCCGTCTCCCAACTGTCCGGCCCATGAACCACTGTTTTTAACATGCTGTCAATATTAATTACCAAAGGTAGACATGCAAAGGTGTTTCATGCATACAATTGCCAGCCTCAAAGGGTGTTAGCACGCAAGCGATTACAACGATTTGAACAAAAGCTCATTCTCGGTTGGTATAGAGGAAAGGAGCTCTCTCACCCCCGTAACACTGTGCCCACGGATATATCCCGCCATTCTCCTGAGTCCAAAATATTTTATTACCCGATACAATGTCGCGGAACTGTGCAGACTTCTCCTCGCCTTCCTTGAGACCCAGATCCCTTAGCGCCCGCGGACTAACACTTAGAAGCTCTGGTTGATCCGTTGTTTCGGGGCGGACATAGGTGAATAAAGCTCCTTTAACAAGGCGGGGTCCCAAGGCCTCGCGCGGGGCATTGTGGGAGGATTCCGGGGTTTCAAAGGCGGGATCCGGAGGCAGCTTTGAGGTGAAGTTACTGGATTTTGGGATATCATCTAACGACACACCTGCGGTATGCCCATTCCTGATCCTATTCCCGGATCCATTTCCGTTTCCGTCTCCTGTATGTGAGCTGGAAAGGCGAGCGGCCATCTGGGCAAGGCGGAACCGAGGAATATGCAATAGGCGGATATGGCGCAACAGCATGAATGAACCTTAACTGTACGACGAGGACAGTGCAGCTAACTAATAAAACAGAAAACTAATGCATAGCTCCTGAATGAAGGACGGAGAAGGGGGGGGGAATGGAAATATATTGACATTGCCAGAAAAAACTGTTAGGATTGCCAGGATTGATCAAACAAAAAAATGCCGATGAGACCCAACGCAGAATTAGCATTCGATGACATAATCTGGCTAGTTAGTTAACTAACAAGTTAAGTTGATTCGTAACTACAATAAACCCTCGCTATAATAAATTCTTCCATAATATAGAAAAATTCGTTAACCCTCTACAAGTAAAATTCATTAACTATTCGTTAGAATTTCTATATCATTCGTTATACCGGTCAAAGGCCCTGGCAGAACCGCGATTTCTGTCAATCAAAAAATAGCTCTACGCGCTCATTAATTGCAAAATACTGCCCTGAGCAATTATGGCTTTAAGACATTGATTTGAGAAGCTATAAAATCAAAAGATCACTCTGTCCTCCGTCTCCGAGATCCTTTCTTCATGTTATGATCATCTTGACCAGACAGTCCACTATTCTTAAAAGCAGACGCGCTACCAACAGTATACTATTGCACAATTAGACTCTGATGACGGGAGTGATGAGGATGAGGATATGAATACAGAATCCCGTTCACAGATTACAGCTTCAGAGGCTTCAGAGGCTTCAGAGGTGGTAAAAATGCATCACTTGTATGAGGAGCAGCAGGATCAGGGAGATCAGAGTCTAATTCAACAGCTTAATTACTATGATACAGGTTAGGAGCACGGAAGCTTGCAAACCAGCAGCAGCAGGAATATTCGGGCGTCCTTGAACGCTCAACCTCTATATAGCAAATTGAATAGGCCCCCAAGATTAAAATTGTTATAGCGAGGAGGGTTTACTGTAACTAACATAGAATCAGAGCTGGATCGTTAGTGAGTTATTTACCAACGATGACTTACGCACGTTAGTTGATTGGACAACTACTAAGTTTGTTAAATAATACCAGGAATGAAAGATATTTCGATGGATTTCGATCTATTTTCCAATCAACGTAATTAGACGGTGGAACTCTCCTGGATATTGATCTGGAACAATTCTACGGGTCAGCGTAATTTAAATATCCTACTCCCCCCTACCTCCGGCCTGTCCATCAAGTCACCTCCTCATTGATTCAAGGGTTCCCTACTTATGGAATGAGACCACCTGCTATAGATAGATTCGAAGGCGGAACCAGGTTCGAACAAAACGATCAAGACCACAGATTTGTTCCCGATGGAACGCGTTTCGAAGCTCTGAACCTCTTTTGTCCAACGAATCACGAATCAGGATATCGACATCTTCTATTGCGTTCTTCAACAAGAATAATGAGCCTTGGAAGAGTGGGTAAATGGTACCACGGTTCAAGAGCGGGGATCCGCCCACGATTGTTCTGTGTTTAATAATATTAACAGTTGCCCGAGAGTTACAAAACCACTGATCATGCAATACATTGCGAAATGGGTTTCTGTCCCCTGGCGACATTGGTTGTTGAAGTTGGCTTTGGATGCGGCTGCGCCAATGAATTAACTGGATATCGTTGCCGATTTTTGAGTGCATCGTGTTACCTAACGGCATGACTCGTAGCCCTGAGGGTCTCAAAACACCACGAACCACAATGTGCAGCCCACTGATGAGATAACTAATTAGTTAACTATGGGTCCGTCTGCCGCTCATCTTATCCGGCTTTACTAATATCCAATGTGTAAATTTTCGGGGGCTGCAGAAGATGAGATACTTTCTAAATCTCTGACTTCAACCAATTCAAAGTATATAGTTTCAAGATGATTGCTTTGCAGGAAATCAAGCTCAATGATGGCAACTCCATTCCAGTGGTCAGTGACTCCCTGAATTCTCAAAATGTCGAGGAAGCCGAACTGAGTTCCTAATTCCGTGTGCTGAACAGCTGGGCTACGGGACTGGAACTGCATGGTACAAGAAAGAAAATGACACGGACATCGACTGGGCGCTGGTCCAAACGATAAAGGATGCAATTAGCTTGGGGTATACTCACATCGACGGCGCAGAGGAGTATGGAACCGAGAGGGAGATTGGGCTCGCTATTAAAGAGAGCGGGATTGCGCGAGAGAATCTCTTCGTCACAACAAAAGTTAGCAACAACATCGCCGACATCCCCAAAGCCATTGACACGAGTTTGAAAAATCTCCAGCTTGACTATGTCGATCTGTACGTGCCTCGCAGACCTATGGCTTTAAAATAATAGCTGCCTAAACAATCGGTGTCAAGAAAAGGGGTGTGTGTCGAATCCCGGTATATAGAGTATGAAAATGATTAACCATTTGGGATCTCTTTGCTCCAGATACCTCATCCACAAACCATTCTACGCGAAGTCCGATAAACATTTTCAAGACGCATGGATTCAGATGGAGAAGCTGAGAGAGGCAGGCAAGGCGCGATCCATCGGCGTCTCCAACTTCCGCCAATACGAACTCGAGGCAGTGCTGAAGAATGCCAAAGTCATACCCGCCATCAACCAGATCGAGTATCACCCATATCTACAGCATGGCGTCTTGGTACCTTATCACGAGGAGAAGGGGATCAGAACCGCTGCGTACGCCCTGCTAACTCCAATAACGAGGGCCAAAGGAGGTCCGATCGACGAAATCCTGGCTGCGCTTGCGAAGAAGTATGCCGTTGGAGAGGCGGAGGTGTTGCTGCGGTGGTCCATCGATCGGGGCGCGGTAGCTATCTCGACAAGTCAGAAAAAGTCTCGATTGGCGGATTATAGGCGGGCGTTGCAATTCAAATTGACTCGGGCAGAGGTTGAGGAAATTTCCAGGGTTGGAGAGCAGAAACATTTCCGTGCATTTTTCAATGACATTATCGCTCCGGTCGATATGTCGTGAAATGATGATGAGAAAGTCGTGGGACGGTGAGGGACAAACAGTGTTTACAGCATTTGGTCATATCGACATCTTGAACAATAGAACCTGCTTTGTGCGCATTACGAATTTTTTATATTGGCAATGGGCTCCTTGTCACACTTTTATCCTCATTTTCAACAAACCTCGATTATTTTACGCAAGTTGGAGAATTTGAGAGTTCACTCTCTAATTTCTGACCAATGTCACTTTGGGACGTACTCCGATGACAGTGTCAATCTCTTCAAGAATAAATAAAGAGATGGAACAATCAATGAGCATTAATAGGCAGTATCACACTATTAGCTTCATAAATAACACTCTCCTGAGATATTTCTTCTTGTTGTTGTAGAGTTTTTAGCTATTGTCTGAGAGTTAATGCGTTAAATGAGTGAGTGACCTTGCTATCACATACCTTTTTATATAGCGGAGAGGGGTGGAAGTAGTTAATTTATCATTTTGTAGTTAATTTATTTAGCCAACGCATCTGATGATTCTTAGAATCAAACATTTTTCATTGCTAGTTAAAATAAATCAGCCAATAACAAAACATTGCCTCTCCCCCCTCATTGTTGACCGGATTCTAGTTTTCTTCTTTCTTTGACTGGCAGCCAACAATTGTTTTGTTGTTGTATAACTGCCATCTCAGGGCTCGCTCACTACCTAAAACCCTCCGCGTCCTCTCCCATCCATCTTCCACTCCTCTTCACCCTCTCCACCCCACTTCATTGCTTTCCTCCCACCCAACAATCAACTCTTCCCATCCTGCAACCTCCCTTCTGTCGAGGTCTTTGTTTTCCCGCTCGTTTTCCTTTTCCAGCCTCCACCAGCCTCCACTTCAGGCTCCTCCAATCCATGGCCTCGCCCGTTGGACGCTTGCCCCTCAACCCGCCAGCCCTAACTCCGTCCGCCGGCCCAATCATCGCGCTGTACTGCTTGATGGTCATCCACCCCCATCGCCTCGTATAGCTCCTGAACTTCCCAGTACCTCCGCTTTTTTGTCGTCGAGTCCTTATGGGAGTACGCTGGCCTCGTCCTGGGCTCTACTGTCTTGTTTATATCCCACTCTGACACAGCTCCCGCCCTTTGTTTGCGTGCCCGCGAGCGCCAGCTGCATCAGGTTGTCTGTCTGTCTAGTCTGTCTGTCTGTCTGTCTGTCTGTCTGTCTTGTCTGTCTGTCTGTCGTTTGGCTGAAAAGCGCATTTCGAGGGCAGCTACTGGTCCAAAATTTTCAGTGTCCTACTGCTTACCCTTGGTGTGATAATACCTGCCTGCCCTTCACTACTAACTGCTACTTGTAAGTCAAATGGGCATTGTCTCTTACCACGTCTTAACGTACCCCTCCTTGTTTCACCCGAGTTCGTTCATATCTGACTGGATGGCTATTTAGTTACCTGATTTGAGGATTGCTCGTTCAGCAAACAGAGACGTCTGAATGTTCCACTCCTCGATTTGGTTGACTACAAACCGCTCCTCTCTCTGTGTCTCTCTTTCCCGACTTCCCGCACACGATAAATCTCAGCCTACAGCCTCTGGTTTGTGAACAATTGTTGCACTTCCTTCCTTAGCAATTTGCCATGTCCGGTGAGCTGCGAAGCTCACACCGGATCCAGAACCCCACCGAACCTTCGTCTCGTGTCCCTGTGAAACGGTCCTATATAGATTACCTCAAAGGCATCAATACCCGCTTCAAGCAACTCTCCGACAACGTTCTGCCTGCCTCGCCATATCTTCTCACCGTCCCTACCGATAGGCCTTTCCATCTAGGTTCTCAGTTTGTGAGCAATTGGGCCGTGGGTGATAACAGACCCTTTGCGCCGGAGGAGGAACATCTCCAGTACATGACTTTTCTGTCCCACCAAGGCGAGGATACTCTACTTGTTGCTGTTGGGGATTGGTCTGATGAACGCGGAAACATTATGGAAGAAGATACCTCGAAACCCCCAAGCATCAACACGAGCGCCGCTACCGATACATCCAAAATCAACCTCCAAAGAAAGAAGATCAGTCTAAGTGACTACAAAAAGAAAGCAAATGAAACTCCCAGATCTTCTTTGAAAGGTGCAACGGACCGAAAAAATGGAGCTGGCCATGCGACAACTTCAGAAGCGAAATTTAGCAGATCGCTAGAACGACCTTCACTGGTCAAGCAGTCCGTATCCTCCTATTCTGGAAGAAAAGATACCGAATCTCCAGCGCCAGAAAATCGCTACAACGGAACTTCCCAACACAAAAATATCCCTGAAGGAAATTCCAGATCTATTCCACCGCCCTATACATCCCCGGCACCACCTCGAGAATCTCCATCTCCCAACAAGAAAGCACGACTCTCAACTACAAAAGAATCCACAGATAATACTTCCACGAAATTCAGAAATGGCCCACCTGTTGTTCCCGCCTTACTTTCTCCAACTCTTCCTCCTACCAGCATTGCGCCAAAGCTCCCTAGACTTCTCTCCCCAACACTTCCACCCGATATTGAAGAAGAGCTAGCAAAGATAGAGGACGAGGAGCCGTCCTTAAATGGAAGCGTTGATTCTAAGAAAATCACATTTTCTGCGTCTGGAGGACCCAAACCAGAAAGACCACCGTCTAAGTTGACCCAATCCAGAGCCCATTCCAATTCTACGTCCAGTTCAAGTGATAAATGCTCAAAGGCTAGAATATTGTCGTCTTCTACGTCCAGGTTAAAAAATAGTAGCGGCGCACAATCTATCCCTGCTTCGAGCGATCGAACTCCCAGAGTTTCTGAAAATAAACTTTCACGTATCCCGTCAAAGTCCAAGGGCCCTGCAGAGCCCGCTAAACCCAAACTTATCGTGAAACTGAGATACGGAAGGGCGAATCGAAAACGGATAGAAGCTTTGCTAAGGTTTTCTGGTAAATACAAAACCACATCCGATAGCAGGACTCCGAAACAAAAAGATGCACCTGAAAAAAGCCCGAAGAAAGGTAAAACTCTTTCTTCGAGGTCAGCCGACACGCAGTGTCAGGAAAAACGACCGAGACAAACGGAGGACGACGACAGTCAGTGTCCAGCTCCCAAGCGCCGGAAACCCGCCGCCATTTCGAGCACAGAGCGACCAAGAACCCCTGTCACTGCTACATTCAAATCTCCTTCAATTCAGCAGCAGTCAACAACATCAAAGAGCCAGTTTCTTACTCCAAATAAAGATGTAAGAGGGCACGCTATGCGCCGCCTGGGATCTGGAGATGGAGATGCGCGAACCCCAGCAGGCATGGACCGTGCAATGAATACCAGCACTCCGGGAAGCGCAGGGAAGACGATTACAAAACACTCCCCTCCAATTTCTACGGACAGTCAAACATGCAGGGCTCGAGATTCACCAGAATATCGCCAATGGCGGGACGAATTCCTAAAATATATCAGTCTAGGTCGCGAGCTAAAACATGCATCCCAGAGATATACCGGCCCCCAAGCGACAGACGTGGACGAAAAACTTGGAGCTGCCATCGCTGTTGAGTCCGTCCTTTGTTTTATCCTTGCGTTTATCCTAGAAGACCAAGCCAAAGCTCTGTGCCAGCGAGTCGGAGATTCGGCGGGCTGGCGATCCATCGTCGCATACTGGAATGCAGTGAAACATATCACAGCTCCTTATCCGCACCTGCACGGCCTTTGTGCCTTCCTTGGCGCAGTCTCCCACGATGCCATCCATGCCTTTGACCTCGAGCGTCTTTTAAATTTCAATATACCAAGCGAGAATAGTCCGGTTCCCACGCCCAACAGCGATGGAAACACAATCAATTCAGAAGATAGCAAGAAGAGCCAGAGGGAGTTTAAAGAACTGAGAACGCGACTCTTCGATTCTCACAAGGAAGCTAAAAGACTCTGGCTGGAGGGTATGTGCGAATTATCCGAAGAGGTCCTCTCCCGCCAATATCCAACTACGTGGTCGAAGCGGTCGAAGAATTTCTTGGTAAGGGGCAGAGAGAAATTGCTCCCTGAAGAGTATTCGGGTGAATATTTTTTACCACTGGGTCATGCGACGACGCCTGTTGAGGTAGTCCGGTTTGGATTGGCGTTACTGACTGAATGGACTGAGAGAGAAGGAGTCAGGTGGAAAGGCCGACTTGGGTTATGATTTTTTTAATATATATTTAATGTCATTTCCTCTTCTCTCACTCTATACCCTTCATGGTTATGATGGACTTCTCTCACCAGCCAATTTTATTTAGAGCGTTACCTCGTTTTCCCCCCGTCCAACAACCCAACGATGCCTGTACCAGATCCTTCTCTAAACTTCTCACCATCCCTTTACCCTTTGCCCAACTTATCGTTTTTAAATTGACATCACGTCTTAGCGCACGTTCCCTTTCTTGATTCCTTCAGTCCCATGTTTTATTTTACTATGCTTTTCTGCTCGTTTTCTTCTGTCGAATTCTACTTTCGCGACCTGCTCTGCTCCATTTCCTTTGATCTAGTAATGATGATACCAACGACACGTCAAATTTATTAGGGTATTAGGGTAAAAATAGTCGGAAAATACCGCGCGCAACGTTCTCTTTTGTTTCTCTTTTCTTTTTCTTCTTTTTCTTCTTTTTTATTTTTATTTTATTTTATTTTTGGTTGGTTTTTTTGTTTGTGCATTTCATTTGCGAACGATTTAGGCCATGCAACACCCTCTCTGTTTCCTATTCCCTCTTTTCGTTTTCTGCGTCCGCATGGCGTTTTGGCGCTTGGAGAAGGAGTGAAAGGGGAACTGGACCAGATGGGATCCGCAGAGTGTATGAATGAATGATGATTTGATGGGATTTGGGTGGGTAGTTGTTACAATGCCTCAGATAGTTTATGGCAGGAAGGTTTCATCCTTTTTTTTTGTTAGTTTTTCCTAATCGTGCTATTCTGATTGAGCGGATATGAGGATGAAAATGAGAAATGAATGTATAAATGACATGCGATAGCGTACAATATATGAATTGTGCTGTATATGTTACACAGCTGTGTGGTGGTTGATAGATATTTCGAACAAGTTTTTAGTTAAGGCTCTGTATGCAGAAGACAATTTGTTCTGTGGTGTAAAAAGAGATAATCCCTTTTTAGCAAACTTATTTCTTCTAATGAGAAACACTGTTAAGTTTTTTCTTTTTTTCTCTTTGAAAACAAACTTGACTATTTATTTTGTCATTTTTGTAGGATATGAAAATGGAGATGGGAATAGAGCTGGAAAATGTGGAATGAAATGCTGATTGATCGATCTCTTCATTGAAGGAATGAATGTGAGTAGGTTACTGAGACTGAAGACTCAGACAAAAAAAAACCAAGAAGCTACAGAATAATACCTAGTTTAAGTTCACTGCTAGCTACGCCGTAGAGCAATGGCAAATGAGAAGGGAAGTTGATATTAACCCGGATATTAGAAAACAAATTGCCAAATGATATTGCTAGCAAAGTAGCAAACCGAAAACAATGAGCAAGGTAGTTAGTTAATTTACGTTCGTAAAATTCAAAAGTAGACCCATATCTTCTATCCTAGTCAAATGCCAGACCGCTCACTCCACTTAAATGCAGCCACTTCTCATATAAGACGCGAAAAGAAGGGGGAAACGTGTAAAACGATGGCAATATGCAAATGCAAATGCACGCCAGAATATAAGTTAGATAAGGAAATCGAATATATGAAGAGGAGGGGTAGTGAATGGATTTATAACTGAGCCATCCATTCAGACAAATTTAACAAAAATGAAATGGATAGCAGGATGCGCTCGCTCTAATCAACAAGAAGCAAAAGAAGAAATAAGAAACATGATAAATCAAAATCAAAAAAGAAAACAAAGGAAATAAAATTTCCCTGGATATCAACGTATAGACTTTCTTCAAATAATCACGAGAGACCATCAGATATTAAACGGGATATTCAACCTCATCATTCCTTTCACTTGTGCCTCCCCCCTTTCTGCCCCCACCAAATAGCCACCCAGCCTCCCGACAGTACCTAGGTTCCCTCCGCGTGCTGCCTACCTCACTAGCCCAGCAGACAAGAGCGGCATCCACCACTCCCGTCAGTACACCTTCCATCGCACCAAGGACACTCCAGCCAATGGCTCCCGCAATCAATCCGACAACATACGCGTACAGACTACCTCGTATCATGGATGTTCCAATGGTTAACTGGAGATTTCGAGCTGTTGTGACCCAGCCGCTGAAACCGAGGGCAAGAGACATGATGAACCGAGTGGCGTGTAGGAGGAGCTTGGAGAGGCGGTATGGGAGCAGTGAGGAGTTGCTGGTGTAGTTGCTGCTATCAGAGTTGGAGAAGGAGAGCGGGCGGAAGGAGGTGGCTGTTGTTGAGGGTGTGAGGAACGTCATTTGGCTGAGACTGCGAGCAGAAGCTCCCAGGGGTAGTGAATGAATGGCAGCATATGTTAGAGTGAGAGGGTTCGTGAGTGTGGCGATCGGGGTAGGGATGAATGAGTATGCGACCAAGACAATAAAGGAGGATAGCCGTCTTGGGAGGACTATTAATGGTAGACGGACTAGCAGGGCCAAAAGTGTTGAGAGACAGATTGTACCAAATAGTGTACTCAGAGAGTGGAGCAATGCTGCCTGGACGATCTGACGGGATGATAACATTGGTAGGGTTAAGCGATGGAAATACCATTGACTGACGGTCGCAGCGGTGACAGTGCGCTGAACTCCAGCAATCACTCCAAGGGACCAGAGGAAGACAAAAACAAAGTAAACACCCAGCCACCAACTCCCTGCATTAATGATGAACACGTTTTTCGAGGCGGAGACATGACCACCGAGAAACACGCGAGTAAACATGAGGATCCACACCCACGTCCACGACGCGATGACGGCCAACGTGAAAAACCCAAGGATAAGCAGTGCCGGATTAGCTGCGAGGATACGACATGAGAACTCCAAGATACTGATCGCCTTGCCTGTTGCAAGACGCCCCTGAATAACCAAATACACCCAGACGGTTGCTATTATGGCTGGTACCAAGGAACCCCAGCGCATGACCTTGTCCTGGATACTTTGGCCATGCCAAGTTCCGCTAAAGCTGGCTATGAACGGGTAAAGAGAAAACGAGTAGAGTATCACAGGAACCGCAATTAAGATCCCATAAACCAACGGCCGGATGTAGGAACGAAGCAAGGCTAACCACAATAGAGACACCAAAATAGACACCAGAGTATAGATCGCTAAGAGGTAAAAAGACGCATGAAGGGTAGAATAAATGGTATCACCAAGGGCAAGTTTATCTTTTGGTAGGGAGGTATGTAGATAGACCAAGAAAGCGGTAGCAAACATGCCCACGAGGGAGATTAAAAAGAGACTGCCCCAAAAAGTGTCATGCTGGGGGGACGCAGAGTCCGGGTGTGTCATTGAAGCTGGAAGGGATGATCCGGCAGAACTTGGTGGGCGAGGATGATCCAGAAGAGCCTGTTCATCCGTTTCCTTGGGCAAAAAAGGGGAGCTGGTTTGAAAAGCGTCTCCCACAAGGTCAGGCTGCTTCCGAAATTGCTGAATGACTGGCGGGGGGTCGTCATCGTCCACAAAACCTGGCCTACTGTCCCGTTGCAGGTTCACCATATCACTCCTCAGGGTATCTTCCAGGCCAACATCAACCATCACATCCTTCCCAAGAGAACTTGCACCTGTGCTCCGCGTATCATCCCTGTCATCTTCGTCACCCCCATTTACTTGCTCGAAAGGCTTGCCTCCAGGAACAGGTGCGACATCACTCGCTCGACCGGCGCGCCACGAACTCTTTATCCCGCCGCCTCTTCCGCGGCCATTTTGATGACTATTGCCCGGTGCGACTATACTATTTTCCGAGTGTTTGCCGTCATCATCGATCTCCGATGACTCCTCCAGCTGGCTAGAGCCGAAATGGCGTCGGGAACGCTGTAGGGCATAGAGGTCTTCGATTTCCCGTTCGTGTTCTTGCTCATCGTCTTCCTCTCTGAATTCGTCCGCAGCGCTGTGGAAGAGCGGGGCATGCTGCAGTGAAGCCTTCGAAGAGAAAGGGAAGTGGGAGATGTAAGAGGAGCTGGGTTGGTAAGGGTTCCCAATAGCTCGATGGAGATAGGATCTCGAGGAGGGGGCGCGTGAACAAGTGCTTTGGTTGAATCTCCTATGGCGGTCTGAGGGTTGTCTGTCGTTGTTATCGGGACCGAAGGCTATTCTAGACTGAGACTGCGCTAGGAATCGAGAGGCATCTAGATCAAAGGTTGCAATGTTAAGAGGTTTGTTCTAGATAGTGTAGAGGAGGGAAAGGAGGAGGGAAGGGGAGTAAGAAAACCGGAGTTCTCCATACATTCCGAAAACATGGCTAGGTGGATATTGCAGCAGCATCAGTCTCGGACATAGAGAAGATTGAATGGTAGCAGATTGGGACGGGAATATGGGAAATATTGGTAATATAAGGATAGGATACGGTTGTATCACAGGCACACCCTTGCAGGTGACTGGTTGGTGGTTGATTAGTTGAAGGGTGGAGAGTGAAGCGAGTCGGTGAAGAGTAGGTTAGACATGGGAGATCAGGAATTGCTATGAAAGGAGCAGCAACACATGCAGCAGATCCAGAGAATAGCAAGGTGAGTAATAGTGTAGAAAGGTATAGACGAGATTAGACAAGAGATGAGGTCCACAGGAGAACACAGAGTAGAGCATGCAAGGAAGAATGAAGAATGAAGATGAGGTTGAGGTTGAGGTTGAAGATGTTTGGCTGTTGGATGTTTTTGGGTGATGCGTGACTGAGCCCTGCCGGGGGAAGAGTCACCAGGGGACCAGACGGGGATGACTAAGACTGTAACATGATATAAGCAGAGTCATGTGCCCCGCGGCAGCAGGCAAACAATCCAGAAGTTCACAGAAAAATCAGGAAGATAAAATCAGGTTTATTTAAAAATAAAAAAAAGGAAAGAAAGAAAAGAGATGAGTAAAAAGTGAAAAATTTCCATATAGTTAACTAACTAGTTAAAGGAACTAGGTTAGTAATATATGTTAGGGCAATATCTGTGCTGCAGAGTGTGTTGTAGCCACTCAAGCTTCTGCCTGCACTTGGCCGGCAGCTCTTAAGACTTTTTAGCTCCAAGCAACCATCAACCTCAACCTCCAACTTCTGCGCTTCATGCTTCATCCGTAGTCGCTTACGGGAGTACGGGCTACAATTTTAAACAACTCAACCCCAGAACTCCAATTCCCCATTTACACACCACTAGCCCCCCCCCCGCTGAATAAATCTATATACTGCTGCACTTACTCCCCGTTCAGGCTACCATAACTTACGGAGTAACCCCAGCTGCTGTCTTAAATCCGCCCAACATAAAACACCAAGAACATCAACCGTGCCTTCGGAATAAATCAAATCGCCTCCTCCTCCAACATAGTTGCGTTCATGTCGCAGCCATGGGATTACATCGCAAAGCTTGTTTGTATTGGTGATTCCGGCACCGGTAAATCCAGCGTGTGCTTCCCCCGCCTTTCTCTGCGCTCAATCCATCCACAACTTGCAGATAACTCCATAAACATTTTATCGTCTCCAACTAACCCTGCTCCAATACAACACAGCTCACCATCCGGCTTTGTGAAGGCCGCTTCTCCGCATCCCACGATGTAACAATCGGCGTCGAATTCGGCTCGCGCATCGTCCCCGTCGGACCCCCCGCATCAGATGCGCTGGGCCTAGATTTTGAGTTCTCTCAACCTTCCCCAACATCCCCATCATCATCATCATTGGCCCACATCCCCGTGCTCCCCCCTTTTTCAACGATCTCCTCGAATCCCCATGGTTCCACGACGTTAATGAACGGAAATGACCCCACCAAACGAAAACATACCCGGACCCATATCCAAACTCAACAACCCGCTGCCGCCGGCCTCCCCGCCCCACCACGCAAGCCACGAACACCCGTCGTGCAAAAGCGCATGAAGCTCTCCCTCTGGGATACAGCGGGCCAAGAAACATACAAATCCATCACACGTTCCTATTTCCGCGGCGCCTCCGGTGCCCTCCTCGTCTTCGACATCACACGCCCTGCCACCTTCGCCTCGCTGACCCAGTGGCTGCAAGATCTGCGCCAGATCGCAGAGGAAGGCATAGTGGTTGTGTTAGTCGGGAACAAGAGTGACCTGGCTGCTTCAGAAGCAGTGGACGGAAATAACTGCTCCAGTGACCAACAACATCAACAACAACCCTACAAAACGATAGTTACACGGGAGGAAGCGGAGGCCTGGTGTCGGACGAATAATGTATCCCGCTATGTGGAGACGAGCGCCAAGTCAGGGGAAGGTGTGGAGAGAGCCTTTCTGGAAGTTGCAGAGCGGATATACCGTAACATCGAGGCCGGGAGGTATGATCTGAACGATCGGCGGAGTGGCGTCAAGGGTTTTGGAGCCACTGGTGGTGCTGGTGGTGGTCCTAGGCGCGTGCAGAGGACTGTCACGCTTGGCGTTAACGATGCCATGGAAAGGAGGGGGAATGGCTGTTGTTAATGTTTTTTTTTTATTACCTGTTATATCTGTAGTTCGTGCTTGGACTTACTACCCTGTCTGTCTGCTGCGAGGTCATCCATTTTTATTCCCTCCCAATTACATTTTCCGGGCAAAGAAAGAATCGATCACAGTTATTCCATTATCACCACCACTGCGGCTTTCCCCGCTATATTTGGTTGCATCTTATTTGATTTTTAATCTATCATTGCTACTATTTCCCTCTTGTCTCCTACACAACATTCTGCATTTCATTCCTAAGGTAGTTGGGAGGACTATTGCTGTTATTTTTTTATGCATCCGGCACTTCCACTAATGTTTCCCCAATCCCTTAACATTTCTTATTTCGTTGTGTACTGTTATTTTCCTGTTTTAAACAGGGAATCTATCAATTCAATGCATGTTGCTTTTACAATCTCCTCTATTCCAACTTGAGGAAAGTTGATAACGAAGAAACATTGTTCAATCGCCTGCTGGCTATAACACATCCTTTCACCTACCTGGGGTGAGTATGGCAAACACCGTTCCCTAACATAATGAAATAGAAAAGAATTAGTATCAAAAATAGAGAAGTATATGAGCAGGGTACAGTGTGGAACATCATTGAATCTAATACGAGAGGGAAACAGTACATATATTTCTCTTTGCCCTATCTTTTCCAGAATATGCGTGCCATCATACATAACAAGAGTTGGGAAAGGGAGAAAAACGGAGAGTTAAGATTGCAGCCGATATTATAAAATTTGGTATATCAACCCCCTCTCCAATTTTACCATCTTAGATTCTAAAAAGGAAAAAGAGAGAGAAAGGATAAAATGCATGAGTAAACAAGTCAGAGGGAAAAAGGGGGGGGGAAAACTTTAAAAAAAAAGGAAGGAAAAAGTATTGTTTCAAAACATATTATGAAAATCCTCCTCGACAAGATTTCTTCCATTTGCCTTGGCCAGAAGGGGTGTGGAAATTTCGCACCCATCCTAAACCCCCAACAACCCCGGGCGGGAAAAATGCAACATTAAAAATCCCTCGCAAAGGAGAAAATCGTAGCAGTTGCGATAACTAGCTCTTCACATTAGTTTTTGCTGTCTGTATATTTTAGTTAGCTCATTGTGTATTACTAATCCGCCACACACTAAACCCAGGACAAATGCTCCCATTTCGAGCTTGGCCCTTCCATTCCAAAGACGATGTCACGGAAATGTAAGAAGAGTCCAATTACAGCCGCGTAGAGCACTGTGTAGATGGCCCACTCGACCTTTGCGGGGAGCTTCCGCGTAAACCAGTTCACGCAGAAAGCCAGTGTTAGCATGGAAAAATACAGCGCTGGGTAATAGTGGTGCACGTAGGTGACGCGGGCCATTGCAATAAAGGGGAAGTAGTGGAAGAACCATGCGATCGCTGGGTATATGCCGGAATAGTAAATGTGGTCGATCTCGGCCATATTGAGTTCGTCGTAGCCGCGCTGCCAGCGGACCAGGTAGAAGAGCAAGATCATGCTGATGATGAGGAGACTGGCGGTTCCTCCCCAGTAGACGATGGGGTTTCCGAGGAGGAAGTATTTGACGACGTTGTCCTCCCAGGAACACATGCGGAGACCTGTGTGGAGGATTGGCCACTCCCAAAACTCGGAGGAGAGGTCATCTTGCTTATCTGGGTCAGGAACAAGGGCGTTGTTTGATGTCATCATGGCCACGTTGAGATGGAGGAAGTCCTTTAGGAATGGCGATTTGTAGGAACCAGCGTCACCGGGTGGGACTAAAAGATATTCAGCGACCGTGCTCAAGCAAAAGGACAAAGAAAGGGGGCTGCATGCTTACGCCTGTCATTAATGTGACTCTCAATATTCCAATGAGTGTAAATGTCTCGGGGATTATTTTTTTTGACGCATGTAGTTTCAATTTGTTTGAAGCCCCACTGTGGAAGATTAACGTTGCCTGCACGAAGATAGCAGCCCAGAACAGCGTGGCGAATGCGGAAAGCAGTTGTCAAAGTCCGAATTTTCGACCTGTCATTGGATGCGACATCGCTAACTACTTCAATGACCCAGTGATCTTTATTGTCTCCAATTGTTGTATTTCCATAACCTGATACTTCGTAGCTGCTCTTGGTCACTGGTGCAGGTACAGGATGCGAATGCAGATTACGTCCTGTTTGAGCGTGAACGAGCCGGATAACATCCTTGTCACCAATAAAACTTAAAGGAGCTTCCGGGTCGTAATCGGGCTCATCTCGGTTCGGATAGAAAAACCAGTCATTATTGGCATCCTTGTGGTGATAGCAAGTGATCTGTTGCTGACCTGATCCTTCAGGGTAGGATTGGACGTGCGAGTGAAGGAGACCGCCACCATATCCCATGTTTTTCAGGGTTGCCTTTGATCCTATCGCAATTTCGAGAGGGCTGTCTTTCCCAACGCTGGTGCCCTTTAGGTTGGCTTGGAAAAGAGAGCTCATCTGCGCATCCCCAGGTCCCGAGTTTTCGAGCACGAGGAAATGCAGGTAGAACGAAAACATGTAGACAAGAAGAGGAACAACAATCAATCCTGCTACTCGAGCCGCGACATGTTGTGCAAGAACAACCTGTTCAAAGGAGTGGCACATCAGTTTATATACCATACCATAAAAATAATAATGGATCCTCCCCTACCTTGGGCATTTTTAGATCGCCAAACTTGTTCCACAGATCCTCAGCAGTGTATAGTCCAACCATCGCAGTAACAAAGAATCCCACCCACTTCACACTGCAGACGCAGCCAATACTCAGCCCCGTCAGTATGAGCCATGTGAACCATTCCACTGTGAAACTTTTATTTTGAAGCCGGTGAAATCGCGCCCAGCACAAAATAGTCGTGAAGGTGAAGCATAACAGCATAGAATCGAGAAGAATAAATCTGGAGATGGTGGCATAGGAGTTCTCACAGAGAACCATTAGAGTCACCAACCAGACAGTCGAGCGGCGGAAGTTCAGTTCGCGGGCTGTATAGTATGCTAGCGGTACGCAGACGGCTCCGAAAATGGCATTGAACGAACGCATGAAGGTATAGTTAAGATCCGGTGGGTACTTTTCTCCAGATTTGAACTCAAACGAGCCATTGTAGCCCGCAAGGTAACCCGACAGGCCCACTAGCATTTTCCCCAGCGGCGGATGGACATCGAAATAGAACTCCCTCTTCAGGTAATGGGAGCCAAACTTGCCGAAACTAGGATATGCGGGCGTTTAGCCAGATGTCGCATCCAAAAGAAGTATCGTACATCTCGTCCCATCTGGGGCTCCAGGACACTCACTGAGCTTCATCCCATGTAACAATATTCGATCGACCGATACGCCACATTCGTGTGAAGAAGGAGAGTGCGGTGAATATCAGGGGGGCAATGATAACTTCCCACTCGTCAAGTACATCGATGAATGAGAACTATGATTGGGAGAATAAGGGTTAGTTGAACTGAGGCCCTAAGCAGACAACAAAATGGCAATTGGAGATAATATAGCTGGTAGATACAAGCTGCTAACGGTATTGGGAATTAGACGTGAAAGATATAAAATATACCTTTTGTGGTGTTGCCCTTTTCCCGTCGATTTCAGCCCGGACGTTACTCGCCCCACTGTCTTCTTTTTGCAAGCCAAAGACATTTCTTCGACGAAGATCGGAGTTCTGTGAGGCGCCCGTTGTGATGGCAGACTCATAGGCTGCCATGACTGGGTGAGACGGTAGGTGAACGGTGAAGACAGGAATGTGTGTATAAAAATTCAGGTCACGAAAAGAAGCCTCAGATATAAGGAGATGGAATATGTTGACGAAGTGAAACCGGTTAGTGGTTGGACAACGATAGCATCCATCCAAAGATTTCTAGCAACTACCTTGAGATCTGGCCCGTCCAACAGCTCACAGATTGAGCCAAGAGGGAAAAGATGAACGAAAGTAACCCACGACCTTGAACAGATACCTAAAAAGAGATAAAATAGAGAGAGAAGACAAGGGGAATTGAAATGGGCCTCAGGAAAAAGAAACGGTAGCTAGTTACTGTACACGGGAGATTGACGGAGAGATGAGTGTGGTGAGACAAAACGAATTGAGCTAGCAATCCCTCGGTAGATGCGAAACGAAATACACAGAGTGAGAAAGGAAACAAAAGGGGAGAAGAAGTTGAAAGATGAAGATGAAGTTGAAATTGAAGTTGAAAATTAAGTTAAGGAAAGTAGAGGTGGTCTTTCGGATTGGGGGGCTTTGTTTTGGCCCTAGGCACAAGTTGACACTAGTATCGTATGGAAAAAGTATTGAAACTCCGTTTGGTACCTGTCTGCCTGTCTGCTGCCTGGCCACGGCTGTTAAGAGTGGGCTTTGGAGCTTCCAACCGGCTGTATCACGCTTACGCGGGACCCTTTTTTCGCTGTTTACGTCCTTGCAAGCCTCGTCAAGTGATCCACCAGCGCCCATGTGCGTTCTTTCTCGAAGCCATGTGGAATGCATGTATAAAGACGATCTTAACCACTGAATTGAATTATTCATACGGAGTATGCGTATATCTATTAACCAATGTTCTGGAAATCCAACTCGTCCTATCCGGGAGCATAATAATCCTACATATTGTATGTGACAACGGTATAAACAGTAATTACCTGAAAAGTGGGTGCCGTTGAACATGTTTTTAAAATTCGGCCGGAAAATCCTTCGGCGTGGTTGAATCATATTGACAGACCCACCCATAAAAACTACATACACTAAAGTCATACCTCGCACATATCCCACACATCTTCTCTCGGCCCTTCATGGTGGTGATTTTAACCTATTTGCCCTGACCCTTAATTAAGTATCCCTAAATCCTTAACTCCTAATCCTAACTTACCCCTAACCCTGGTGTTGGGTGTTGAGTGTTGAGTAATAAGTGTGCAGGGAATGTAGACTGTTTATTTTAGATGGGTGATGAGAATTGGATTTATGGTTTTAGAAAAGTGGGCTCAAGTTTTAAACCAACGTTCAACCGTAAATACCCTCTGAAAATAAAATGTACCCCCGACCTCGATAATATAAAACCCTGTATATCAACCCTGTTAATAACTTCAGAGATACGTTAAAAAGAGGTATCCAAAGTGAAACCAACATTTGACCGTCTAAAATGTAATACGGAAATCCTAAGAAATCATTACAAAAAACCAAGCGCCCCTGACACATAGGAATCAGGTGTGTACGTGCCATTCCTCTCCAGCAGCCAATGAACAATAAAATGAGAGGAAAGAGAAGAAAATATTACAGCAATATATAACGCGTCTCCCATGTAACCAACAATATGGAAGCGTGGACAGCGAGAAAAATTGACCAAACGTCGGAGACGCGTAACTGCGTACCAAGTGTATATCCGGGAAGAGATATAAAACAAAACGTAAATGAGAAATGAAAAATGAGAAACGAAAGAAACAAGAAGATGAGGCGGAGGTCCCATGAGTAATTATCCTCCTGTGGCCCCCAAGAAGAACATCCATCGCCAGACTGGAGTGACGCCAAGCAAGAGATCAAATGGGGAATTCGAGGAAGGGAGATTGTATCAAATAACGCCAGAGATCTAAACAAAATTTGAATCGAGTGACTGAAAAGAGGGAGACCAATCAGAACAGGAGAGGGACCACTGCACATCGCGGTACCGAGCAGTGACTTGGAACCAGACCGTGGCCATGAAACATATGTACCGTGGTAACTAGATCCCATGTTTGCTCCAAGCCAGAGTCAGCCAAGTAGTCTTCTTTCTATCCTTCACTTTGAAAGTCCCTCGTCTCCACATCTACCTTTCCTCATCCTGGTCAAGGCGACTATATCGCCCTTGATCACCCTTGTTGCCAGAGCTAGTCCCTCGCCCAACCATGCTGGATATCCAACCGCGGATTCCTTCGCCGCGATAAGATCGCTCTACAATGCCAGATGGAACTGGCTTACTGCTCGATTCAGTCGGGTTGAGGTCCAGTTCCGGAATTCCACAATCGGCGCCGTGATGGTCATCGTGTGATCTTCGAAGATCAAGAGAGGGAATCGGCGATCCAGCGCCTATGAGCACATCCTGTTCAGCGGGGGTGGGGGGTGTTGGAGCTGAGGTTCCATCGCCGAAAACTGTATCCATGTCCTCCAGACGGATACCGCTGGTTTCGGGGTATACGAAATACACTAGAAAAAGGATGGTCAGGCATTGGAAAACAGTGGCAGTAGCAGCAGCAGCAATGCATGACAAGGTGACAATGCGAGCTTACCTAGAACAAAACTAACCGCGCAGAAGAAAGCATGCATCAAATATAAACGCCATTTGATGGCTTCTTGCAAAACTGGGGTCAATTCTCCCACAAGCCAATTAAACGCCCAGTTTGATGCAGTGCTCAAACTCGCTCCCTTCGCTCGAATACTCAGTGGCAGAATTTCCGGTGGGTATAGCCATGGAATTGGGCCCCAAGAAGCACCAAATGCAGCATTGTATATCATGACAAATATAACGGTAAGGATTGGGGTGCTCTTAATATCAAGATAGAGCCAATAAGAGATAAATGACAAAGATATAATCATTGCCACGGCACCGGAGAGCAGAATTGGTCGTCGTCCCCAGCGGTCGACAAGGTACCAGGGTGGAATAGTCGATGCCAGGTAGCTGAGCGAGTTAATACCTGTCATGAGAATTGCCTTGCGTCCCATCATGCCTGCAGATTCGAACACCAGTGGTGCATAATACGAGATGACGTTAATTCCATTAAGTTGAGCAAACGCCTGGGCCGACATTGCGATAAAAACACGTTTGCCGTAGCGGCGAAACATTTCTGCATATGACCGTTCGCCCTCTTGTCTCTGAAGTAAAACCCCCATTTTAATTTCTCGATATTCTTGGCGGGCTTTGTCATTGTGAAGGTCACCCTCAGCATAGAGGTTGGCGATTACAACCATTCCTTCTTCATCATGATCATTGTCTAGCAACCATCTATTGTTTTCAACAGTGTCAGTTACGATGTAAATATCGACGATAAAATAAACAGAAAATGGGGACCTTACCGAGGAGATTCACAGATAATAAGAGACCCAACACCCAAAAAAGCACCCATAATGCATTGGAACGCCAGTGGTAACCTCCAGGCATAATTGTTTGGGATAAAGCTGCAAAAATAGTCTACCCACACGCTGGCAGCGTAACCACAAATGTTTCCAGTGAACTCTATACAAGCCAGCTTGCCTCGATTATGCGGAGGAGATATTTCAGACTGATAAACAGGCACAATAGTAGATAAGGCACCCACACCCAAACCCGCGATGATACGACCGACCAGCATCATAGGAATCCCTGTAGCGAATGTCTGGAGAGCGCCTCCAATGAAAAACACGATGGATCCGTAGAGGATAGTGCGAGTTCTACCGATAATATCACCAATTTTTCCGACGATAAGAGATGAAATGAACGCCCCGACTTCTAGAATAGCAACCATAGTACCAATCTCCGCCCGCGTGGGTTGGTTAAAATAGTCTTTAAAGTCGGCACCCCTAAGAGAACTAGTAAGATTCTGTATTTTGGAGAAGTGCAAATGATGCCCATATATCCTCGAATTCCCAGCAGTGCTATTGGCGGAATTGGAGAGGATATAGACAGTTAAACAAGTGGGTGTAACGTACGTGATAATGCCCGACATGACTCCCTGGTCATATCCAAAAAGGAAGACACCTAACGATACAAAGACGCTCGTGAAATATCTAAAAAGGTCAAGCAAACATCAGTACTGAGTTAAATTCGATTTCAAGTGAGGTTCTCGGTTTGAATAACAAAAGCAACATACAGCAGTGGTTTGCCCACCAAACCCTTGGCCTGGACCTTATGGATGTTTCCAGGCGACATGATGATGGTTAATATTTTTTCCGCCCTGGAAACAGTGCGAGGGGAAGGGGAAGGGATAATGATCTCCTTGAGAATGCCAGCGCGGTTGTGGTCGAGTTCGAGATGGTTGTGCCCGTGAGGGTGGTCGGGGGTCTGGTGGTTGGTCCGTTTTGAGCGTTTCCCGCGGGAGCGGAAGCCAGTTCTACCAAAGAGCTGATGATCAAGAGAGCGACGAAGCTGAATTTGAAGGGGATCTTCTTCGTTGGCGAGCTGTTCAGCCAAATCACCCGAATCGGACCAGACGGAGAAGTCGGAGTCTGCGGCAGATGGGGTTGGGGAGGGAGAGAACGTAGCGAACCGCCGGTTGCCCTCTTTCTCGCGCGAGGATTCGTGCAGCGAGGTAGGCGGATCGGGCGAGGGCCGGGAATGAGGAGATAGGGACCGGAGGGAAATCGAGTTGGAGGTATTGGGGGGAGTTGAGGATGAAATCGTGACGGTGGTGAGAGGGCCGGCCGGAGCAGCCCTACAAAAGATAAAAGGAGGTTGAACAACGATAGATGAGGTAGAGGACGAGGTGGAGTGGAATGTGAAGTGTGATTTAGGTACCAACAACGTGGGTCAGGAGAGAGAAGCCCAAAAAGGGACAGCTTGTGGGCGTTAGGGTGTCAACCAAGGGGTTGAGAAGAAGAAGCCTGACATCCGACGAAAAGGAGTTAACCGACAAGCATCGAAATATGCGGGGACGGTTGGATTGGTTCCTGATGTCTGGAGCGGAACCTCAGATGCGCTGTTAGTTTGCGTCAATCAGTGGGGGTTTTGTTGATTATATCGAGCATCCATGCAGGGGCTTTTGTTGCAGGCCCTT